AAGAACAAAAACATGTTGAGTGGCAGCTGACTGTGGTTAATTGTTGATGTCAGAAGACTTACAGTAATCAGATTCTATCATTTCAAATAAAATTCCTAATATGGATAACACTGGAGGGTAATAATGCTGTTTCTATCACTCAACAATTCATTATGTACCATTCTAAATACCAGCCTATTATCTAGTGTCCATTCTCTCCTTACTGTAGTAGTTGTTGGAGAGACAGTCCAATATGTTGGCTGGTGGTTTTTGCATTTGATAGTGTCAACTTAAGTACACCATTACTGTTTCCATAGGAATTAACACTTTGAAGCCTAAATCATGAAATAATTGCCAGAAAAACCTTTAAAAAAAAGTCTTTATTTAACCTTCTTTTCTTTATTGTTTTTGTAATTATTTAGAAAATAAATTACATTCCAATTTCCATATATGACATTTAATTTGTGTCATATCTGCCTATTTGCTTGTTTTTTTTAAATTTGTTTATTTAGGTTTATTTAGGTTTTTCAGGGGGGGGAATTCACATTGATGATGTTGAAGTCCCAAAAACTGGCAAAAAACTGTATGTATCAAATGTTGTACACTAGGCGTTAAAGGGTTAAAAGGGCACAGGACTTACTGGAGTACTTCTGCTGCTCATTCCTGTGCAATATCCCATCTGACCTCCCGTCATATTTCTTTTCAAGATTTTCTTATTTAATCACTAGTGTACATATATTAATATTTATAGATACATATATATTTAGTCATCTTTTCTCTTTTACCATGTCTCTCTAATATTTTGCTCCTTACCATTTTTCTATTTTCTTTATTATTTTATTTTATTTTATTTTATTATATTTTCTCCTACTGTACCATGCTGCTGAGTGACTGCTGCTCGTCAAACACATTTCATTGCAATGTTGACCCTGTGCTAACTTGCATATGACAAATAAAATCTGAAAGCTGAAACTGAAAACTGAAAACTGGAGTACTATGAAAACGTCCTTTTTCAAATGACTGCATAGTTAAATAATGCTGCTGTTTCAGTTAGGTTGCTAAAGGCTGTGAAGTAGACATCAGAATGTTGTTAGCCGTGTTTTAAAATACGCTCTTTTCTAAGCTAACTTCATGTTCAGCTGAAATCTTCTTGGTTTCCAACAGTGTTTGGGCGTTTCAGCAGTGTGTGTGTGTGGGAATTTCAGTAGTGTGTATTAGAAAGTTTCAGTAATGTTTGTTTGAGTTTCAGTGGTGTGTTTGTGAAAGTTTCAGCAATATTTGTCAGATAGTTTCACAAGTGCAAGCACTTCCGTAATAATGTCCCTAGCACCGCCTCACACTCTAGCGGTATTTCCTCTTTATTCATCTAAAGCGGAACTCTGAACAAGTGCAACAGCTACTGGGAGAGAAGCAAAGAGGCGCTGAGAGGAGGAAAAGGAAAGCATCAGGCACAAACAGACAGTGAGGGAGAGAAAGCGAGGAAGGAAAGGTCTGTGTGTGTTTGTGTGTGCTGGTGTGCGTGTGTGTGTGTGTGTGTGTTTGTGTGTGCTGGTGTACGTGTGTGTGTGTGTGTGTGTGTGTGAGGACACTTACATTTAACATAGTTTCATGCTTATAGGAAGTGAAATTCTCTGTAAACCACAGAGATGACTGTGTAAAGAAAACCCGGACCAGCCTATTGGGCACCAACAACCATGCCACATTCAAAGTCGCCTTTCTCCACCATCCTGATTAGCTTAGGTCATCTTCACCATGTCGACCTGACTAAATGCACTGACTTGTTGTAATGTGATTGGTTGTTAATAATAGTATATTTAATAGTGCTTCTTTTGTGGCAATCATATCAAGAAATAACGTTTCCAAATCTCAGTAACTGTCTGCTGATTTGCTTTGCTACATCAGACTAATGCAGGTAATACATCTCTAAGATATTTTTTAGTATTCTTGGCCAGGAAAAGCTTATACAAAGCAACTGTGGCTATGAGGAATCTGCGATGCATATCAGCACACATTGCGTTTTGTTATTGTATTAAATTTTGTTATATTATTCTGATTAAAGGTTCCTTTTGGTTTATCCTTTCTCAGGGACATGGAAAAGCAAAAAGGTAAGAAAAAAGGTTAATATTATTAAGGAGAACAAGCTGCACTTGGCAATTACGATAGAGAACATTTCTAACTGCTTTTTTTTTAAATCTTATGATTAACTGAGTGTGCAGATAATTGTGATTGGAGTTTCCCCCTTATTTCAATAACTTTGAGCTACACAGGTCACACTGATGATGTAGAACTTTTAAAAACTCACATTTATAATATGGTACACTTGGTGTCACAGGATAAAAAGGAAGTAACTATAGAGGCCAAACCCTGGCTTCTGGTGAACTGGATATGTGATCACTTGTAGTATAGAGATTGCTGACAGTCTCTGTGAAATCCATTGCTCAAGCTCCATTCAGGGTGCTCTAGTGACCAGTCAGTGACCCCACTGGCAACTAGAAGGTACTGGGGTGTGCGTGTCACTGACTGGTCTCTAGGCCAAAAGTCTAATGTAATTAACACATCTAATAAGCTAAACACAAAATATATAATGTATAATATCGCTCATTGTGTGTAAGATGTGTGGCTTCACACTTGTCTTCTTCTCCTTTTTAATTTATCTTTAGTGTTGTGGAAAAGATTCTTTGTCATCTCAGCTAGAAAAACAAGTGAAGCTCATCATTCTTTTATTAAAAGGCTTAAAAGTATCGATCAAATGGAAGTGACCTCCGCAGAAAAATCTGACTACCTTCTGATTTTCTGTCCTGTTAATTCACAAGTTGGAGCAGACATTGCAGAGGCCCTGGACAAGATTCCCCGTAAGAAGTCCTTATTCACTAGTTTTTCAACTGCCATCAGAATTCTAGAGAACCTATTCAAAATAATTATATGAAGGTTTTGAAAAATATCATAGCAAAAAATAGAGCATTCTATCTGCATGTGACAGGTATAACATTAGGTGCCCACTTCCTTTGTATTCACATTTGTCAAAAGACATGCACTGTTTTTTTGTAATTAGAAAGCGAATGAATGGACAGTCTTCATGTATTAAATCAAACTTGCTCACTTTTCCATAAAATCTTAAGATCATGATCAGAGTAACTATAAAAAACAACAACATAGGAAAACTATTCCTGCAGTATGTATCAGTTAATGTGAGCAGACTAATGTCACTAATGTACTGTGGTTCATTCAGTCAATGCTGCTGGTATATGTGAAAAAACCTGTGATGAACATTCATGTAGTTCTTCTTTCTTCTTCATTTAACGTGCAGGCCAAGACCAAAAAATCTTGTTTCTGAATCATTTGATCCTGTTGTCTCTCTGCCTACAGGTGGTAAACCTGTAATTCTGGTGGTGATGCATCACACCTCCAATCTTGAGCATGTTGTAGCTGAAAGCTGGAGACAGGTGAAGAACGAGAATGTCCACCTCACTGTGGATTGTCTGGTTTATAAGGGAAAACTGCTTGATTGCAGCTTCAATGATATCATGTGGTGTAACATTGGGAAGTTTTTCAGAGTTTCCATTCACCAGGTAATTTCTATACATACAGTCATGCTTGGTACTATTAATAACAAGCAAACAAACAACCCCACCCTCAATGTAAACCCAAACATGATTATAACTCTCTGTTTTATTCTTTAGCTCATTCAGACTTCTAAGTGGCGAAAATGCAGTTGTAAGTATAACTGTAATGCTTTTGTATATTTCATCAAAGATTGCTTTTGTCGCTTTCCACATAATAAAGTTGTACGGACATTGGCATTAATATTCAGTAACTAATTTCAAACTTATAAATGTTTAACTTATAAATAACAAGCTCTTTTCTCCCCGTAGGTTACACTGACCCTCTGATACTGGGTGTAGGTTTTATAATGTGTATTATGATAGTGGCAACTGTGACTATGGAAGTAGTGCGAAGGATGATTTAGATGTTACTGAGCTGAATGTTTTTTTTTTTATTATCTGGATCATAAAAAAAGGAAAATGATATAATGATAAGAGATCTGCAACCTTATGCACAGGGCTACATGTTCATTGAAAAAATGTGTTGTGAGTTTGACAGTGAGATCTGAGATCCTAAAATGTTCTAAAAGAATAACTTGCTGCTTTTGTCCAATACTTGTGTGAAAGAAATCCTCTCTGAAGAGATGGTCGTGTAAAGTTTGTATCCAATGTTTCAGCCAAAGGTGCTATGAGATTAAAGTTTTTTAAAGTTCAACATGTGGCTATATTTCCGGTTCACAGTCTCTTTGTGCTTCTTCTTAAGCAAAGCATTTCCCCTGTGTATGGCTGTATGATATAATGTTCTGGTTAAGATTTAGGTTTTAGTTGAACAGATTAGTAAGTTTTAAATAACAGCTCAGAAAGTAAGGATGCTGTTTTGTGCAATTTTATTAATTATATTTAAATTATCTGTGATGAATACAAATCAATTGTATATAGTATTTTATTTTATTGTGTACAGTATCTTATTCTTATTCTTATCATCTTATCTTATTTCAGTGTTTTGTTTTGTTTTCAAATTTTTGCTATGTAACTTTACACTGTCCACTTTCTGCTGTAACAAATCAAATTGCCCACGTGTTGGACTAATAAAGGTTATCTTATCTATATTATCATATCTTATGATGCATAGTCATCAGATTTAAACACAACTGGACCAGCATGTTTTACAGTTTTCCCTGCCACAACAATCAAAACACCAAAGGAGGGGATCTATTTTTGATAGCATATTTTTGAAGCATGAATTTCCTCTTTCCAAACACTTGGAAAATAATGGCAAGGGACAATAAAACAGTTTATATTGCTTTTCCTTTAAATTCTCACCTGACCCATTTCTTTATTCCACAGTTTTACACTCTGTTAACCCACTTCCCCTACTGCTGTGTTCTGATCTTATTTTTTTCAAACACTGAAAGAGTTAATGTTCCTGTTTGGGCAGTTACTTTAAAATCGAAAATGAAAGTGCTTCACAAACAGGGAAGGACGTCACTCCCTTTTCAGTGTTCGAAGGATATACCAGAGACTGTATACTCAAGCTATTGTGTAAGTGAATTTCTCAAAATCTTTCCATGTGAAGCTGTGAACTTCACAGCTCTAGCAGGCCCAGACATATACATATTCTCTAGGCCAATGTTAGCCTAGCTTTTTAAAAAGTGAACAGAAAGTGAAACTGCTGACCATGATTATTCATTGTTGTTTTGACTAAAAGCTCCTTTCTCTTCTCCCTCCTCAGAGACATGGTACAAAGACATGGTGAGAAAATATGGTGCTTTTGAATTTTTAAGTTTTATCTGTTCCTGAAGGCTCTGGACGTTGTAGGGCTGTCCTGGTTGACACGCCTCTGCAATGTTGCGTGGAGATCAGGGGCAGTACCTGTGGACTGGCAGACCGGGGTGGTGGTCCCCATCTTTAAGAAGGGGGACCGGAGGGTGTGTTCCAACTACAGGGGGATCACACTCCTCAGCCTCCCTGGGAAAGTCTATGCCAGGGTGCTGGAAAGGAGAGTTCGTCCGCTAGTCGAACCTCGGATACAGGAGGAACAATGCGGTTTTCGTCCTGGTCGCAGAACACTGGACCAGCTCTTTATCCTCTCGAGGATACTTGAGGGTGCATGGGAGTTTGCCCAACCAGTCTACATGTGTTTTGTGGACTTGGAGAAGGCATTCGACCGTGTCCCTCGGGGTGTCCTGTGGGAGGTGTTGCGGGAGTATGGGGTGTCTGGCCCATTGCTACGGGCCATTCAATCCCTATACAACCGTTGCAAGAGCTTGGTTCGCATTGCCGGCAATAAGTCGGACTCGTTCCCGGTGGGTGATGGGCTCCGCCAGGGCTGCCCTTTGTCTCCGGTTCTGTTCATAATTTTTATGGACAGGATTTCTAGGCGCAGCCAAGTGGCAGAGGGCTTTCGCTTTGGTGGCCTCAGAATCTCATCTCTGATTTTTGCAGATGATGTGGTTCTGTTGGCTTCATCGGGTGAGGGCCTCCAGCTCGCACTGGAACGGTTCGCAGCCGAGTGTGAAGCAGCGGGAATGAGGATCAGCACCTCCAAAACTGAGGCCATGGTTCTCAGCCGGAAAAGGGTGGAGTGCCCACTCCGGGTCGGGGATGAGTTCCTGCCCCAAGTGGAGGAGTTCAAGTATCTCGGGGTCTTGTTCGCGAGTGATGGGAGAAGGGAGCCGGAGATCGACAGACGGATTGGGGCTGCAGCTGCAGTAATGCGGACGCTGCACCGGTCCGTCGTGGTGAAGAGGGAGCTGAGTGTAAAAGTGAAGCTCTCAATTTACCAGTCGATCTACGTTCCTACCCTCACCTATGGCCACGAGCTGTGGGTAGTGACCGAAAGAACGAAATCGCGGATACAAGCGGCAGAAATGAGCTTCCTCCGAAGGGTGGCTGGCCTCTCCCTTAGAGATAGGGTGAGAAGTTCGGCCATCCGGGAGGGGCTCAGAGTAGAGCAGCTGCTGCTCCACATCGAAAGGAGCCAGCTGAGGTGGTTCGGGCATCTGACAAGGATGCCCCCTGGGCGCCTCCTGGGTGAGGTGTTCCAGGCATGTCCCACCGGGAGGAGGCCCCGGGGCAGACCCAGGACACACTGGAGAGATTATATCTCTCGGCTGGCCTGGGAACGCCTTGGTATTCCCCCGGATAAGCTGGAGGAGGTGGCTGGGGAGAGGGAGGTCTGGGCCTCTTTGCTTAGGCTGCTGCCCCCGCGACCCGGCCTCGGATAAAGCGGATGAAGATGGATGGATGGATGGAAGTTTTATCTCCAAAAGTTGATTCTGTTCATCTGGACGTAGCGTTTTCAGTGGGAGAAACGTTTCCCCTCACTGAAAACGCTACGTCCAGATGAACAGAAATAACTTTTGGAGATTTACTTGCCTGGATGATTGAGCATACATCAAGACTTTTTAAGTTTTACTTTTCAAAATTAAAGTTGTCAGATATTTCACTATTAAAGACAATAAGCTTTATTTAATAATTACACTTGAAAGGATATACAATTGCAAGCATTATTTTAGCCACAGCAGGTGGTCTGGGGGAGGCTTCAGTTTGCAGCTAAACAAGGAATTAATGGAAACCAACGATACTCACAGTAAATTCTAATGGTGGTATAAAAAAACTAGAATTATCCCACTTTAATTTTAAATTTTGATTTTCACTATGGCCAGCACTGTGGCACACTCTGGAACTGTTGCCTCACAGCAAGAAGGTCCTGAGTTTGATTCCTGGCTGGGGTCTTTCTCCCCGTGTTTGCGTGGGTTCTCTCTCAGTACTCCACCTTCCTCCCACAGTCCAAAGGCATGCAGTTAGTCGGGATACGTTAATCGGTAACTCTAAGTTGCCTATAGGTGTGAGTGCAGATGGTTGCCTGTCTCTACATGTTAGCCCTGCGACACACTGGGGATCTGTCCAGGGTGTACCCTGCCCTTTGCCCTGCTCTTTGACAGGGAAGACAGGAATATAGATGCATGAATTCAATCTGGTTCTTCTTTAAAATATCTGGATTTAGATTAGCACTGTTAAGCACTGTTTATATGGTTGATAGACATTAACTCATTAAAAATTATGTCACATCTGAACAAGGATCCAATTTTTCTTTTTGTTTCACTTTAGAGTCATGGAAAAAATTCTTTGTGTGGGAAGCAGGAAAAACAAATGGGGCCCATTTTCCAGTTGTTCAAATACTCAAAAGTATTGGACAAACAGACGTGACCTCTGCAACGGAATGTGACTATCTTCTAGTCTTCTGTCCTGTCGTTTCCCGAGTTGGAACAGACATCGGCGAGGCCCTGCACAACATAACTCGTAAGAAATGTTAAATAACTAAATGCTAAATAATACATGCATGCATGACACATTGAGTTTTGATTGAAGTTATTGCTGTAGGGTGAAGATGAAAGTGGAATTTGTATACACTCATTGTAGATGTGAATATCATGGTAATTTACAGGATGCAAGTTTAATAACTTAAAAAACAACAATAGCAATTTGCCATGTGTTGTTTGTTTAGCACATTAATTTGTGCTAATTTTTGAACTACTAATTTGTCCTACTTTTGATATGTTGTTTTGGATATCATTACTCCTTTTAGTGATTTTAGTGATTATGGCCTCATGCTACGTTCACTTAGAATATTTGGCCTGTAAAGTGGGAAATAAATATAAAATACAAAATTGGAAGTAAACAGAAAGGCTACATTTAACATGCAGGCAAAAAGCCCAAACTCTTGTTTCTGAATCATTTGATCCTGTTGTCTCTTCACTTACAGCTGGCAAACCAGTAATACTGGTGGTGATGCATCACACCTTTGATCCTCACCATGTTGTAGCTGAAAGCCGGAGGCAGGTGAACAACCCAAATGTCCACCTAACTGTGGACTGTCTGTTTTTTGAAGGCCACCTCCTCAGTTGTAACCTCAATGATACCATGTCGGGTGACATCAAAAAATTTTTTGGTTCTGAATTCCCAGTTCCAGTCTTAATTCACAACCTGATCTCTTTGTGGCAACACATCCCACGTTTCTGTAAGTATGATATAATACCTTCATCTATCTGATTTATCTGAATATTCATCTTTGTGTTTTATTGATGACCACCAAATTTAAAGTTCCTTATTTCTCATGGTATGGTCACATTTATTTAAAAAAAAACAACCCTCCAATATTTTCTGGCACACAGTGTTGGGAAGGTTACTTTTAAAATGTATTCCACTACAGATTACCGAGTACATGCCCCAAAACGTATTTTGTAACGTATTCTGTTACTTTGCTCAATGAGAGTAATGTATTCTGATTACTATTTATTGCTATTACTGAAGGTTACTCGCCATGCCAATACCAACTAGACTGTTAAATCTTAATGTAAAATGAGTAACAGTAGGGTGGACATTAGGTAAGGCTGCACTTTTTGCAGCGATCTCGTATAGAAAACAGATTAACAGGAAAACAGGTCCGCGGCTCCAAACTGTAGTAAAGGTATCTCTGGCTAATACGTTGGGTTCCGTGTCGGGTTCGTAACCGAAAACTAGCTTTACTTTGTTGTCTGGATCAACTTTGCTAGCGAGAGACAGAGAGATGCATTGAAAGGCTGCTCCAACGGAACTTATTGTTTCGGAGGAAAACCAACACAGTCGAGTCTTAATAGCTTACTTACAACTAACTTAGTCCTTGCTCTTCCACGTCAGTACTGAGACCTTGAAAACAACCATAGTGATGGAAGAGACACACCCGTGGGAGAGATTCATACATTTTTATTTTGAGATTGACCTAAACTATGAACACATTAAATCAGTGCTTTGCAGTAAACACAGTTTTTATATAAGTGAGAGACATCTGAAGAGGTGACACACTCACCGCAAGGCATACTCTGACGTGGAGAAAAACGTTTTGTCGCCATCTCCCAATAGTATATCTTTTTTTCCATTTTTTTTCAATGTCTCTTGCAGTGCTCTGTGCAAAATAAACACCAAACTGAAAAACATTCACCAAGCTGAATCCAAGTCAGAAAAGAAAAACATGTAGGGTATTTAGTGGCCTGAAATGTATTAATCCATAAAGCCTAACTAGTCAAAACTCCTTTGTGTGTCTTCGTATTGAAAGATGATTCTGGTCATTTCCAATGGTTTGTATCATAAATGAGCTACGTTAATGAAAATCTAAGTAATGTCTAGCCATGGCGTAATTAAAAGTACCTATGCATAAGGCATATCAGTTGTGTTTGAGTAGTAAAAGATACTGTACAAATTAATGCTCTCTTTTTCCCCTATTTGAGGTTTAGGTAGCTTCATCTGAAAAATATTTGGACTTTGCAAGTATGACTGTACTAGTTTTTGCTTATTTTTTAGTTGTTTCCTAAAACATCATTTGTTGGTGTTTTAGGTTAATATATTGTAAAGGTACAGCTTTTAGATATATCCCAATGTGTTCTAACTCACAACCTAACCAGAAAGCCCTTTTAAGCCCATGCTTCCATCCCATTCAAGTTGTTGCCGACTGCATCGAGCTGACGTGCAGTAACATTTCTTGGAATATGCACATCAGGTTATGTGGAAGGTGACGGCACAGGGTTAAAAGGCCATTCTGGTAACATCGCTAGTTACAATGTAAATTTCCTGCAGAAGTCTAGATCATACATAAGTTAGCATGGTAGTATAAGGTCTAGATGTTGTTCTGCTTTTCCACGAGTTTTTGGTTGTGATCACTTTGGTTTCTCCCTCTAAATAACGTGTTTATTCAATGATGAAAAAAAAGTAAAAGAAAAGCGTATATGACTATGATCAAAGATTTATTTAATGAGCACAATTTTGTTTAATTCAGTTTTAGGTTTCTTCATCTGGAAAATATTTGGACTTTGTAAGTATGACTGTATTTTTTTTTATCTTATTTTCATTTTTAGCATATTTCATACTAAAACATTAAAAATATAAATAAGTAATTTTATGTTCTAATATACAGTGTTAAGAGCAAATATCTCTTGTTGTGTTCTATAAGATTGTAATATAGATAATGCTCAATATTTCTGTTGCATCCACTGGGTTGAAATAAAATAAAAACAAAACAAATGAGCAAAAAGAAAAAAAACCACCAAAAATGACAATGGTATAATTATCTTACAAGATGTGTTTCAGTAGCAAAATATACCAGACAACTTATTGCTCTGTTTTTATTTGTTTAGGTAGCCCTGCCTGAAACATATTTGAACTTTGTAAGTATTAACTGTGTTAGCATTACCTTAACATAATTTTATTGTGTTTTAGGTTGCTCCAGTATCTGGAATATATTCGTGTGTAAGTATAATTATTGATAATTTTTATCCTTATTCATGTCTTCATCTTTTATCTCCATAAAGCTACAGTTTTTAGAACAAATATCCCAATGTGTCCTAAGTCACAGCATAACCGGAAAGCCTGTATGCTGCAACTTTCCACACCATTTAAGTTACTGCCAACTGCATCAACCTGAAGTGTAGTAACATTTTTGCGGATGTGCACATCAGGTTGTGTGGAAGGTGACGGCACTGAATTAAAATGACTTTCCAGTTGCAATGTAAATTCCTGTACAAGTCTAATTCACACATAAGCTAGCATGGTAGAATAGAATTTCTTGATGTATGCTCAACCATCCTGGTAAGTAAATCCCAAAAGGTTGATTCCCCAACCTTATAAACAGCACATTTGCAGTCATTGTTTGAATGTACTGTTTATAAAGTTGGGGAAACCAGCAGTGAGCTGAGACTGAAGAAGTCACTTGGATGGGTGATGAAATGTTTTTCCCACTGAAAATGATATGTCTAGATGAACAGAATCAACCTTCTGGGGTAGAATAACATCTAGATCTTGGTATTTCACCAAAATAAAAAGAATTTTTTTTTGATTACTTTGGTTTCTCCCTCTAAATAATGAGGTTATTTAATATTGTACTAGTGTTTATATCTATTTTGTTCATGAATTGATAAAAAAGAGATAAAGGAAAGCATACATGACTATGCCTAAAGCTTTATTTACCTCCTACATTCTGTCACTTGTGTGTGAGTGGTAAAAATAACAGACGAGTTACTCTTCTGTTTTCATTTTACTTTTAGGTTTAGGTAGCCCCATCTGGAAAAAAATCAGACCTTGTAAGTATCACTGTATAAGTTTTAGCTTTGTTGGTGGTGTATCCTAAAACATATAATAACATGTTCTGTAGAAATCACTCAGCCTGTTTACAATGTAATCAGAATGTAGTGATGAGCAAGCACAAATGTCACTCTACTCAGAACTAGTCTTACAGGTCACTTGAGTCAGTTACACACTTGTAAAAGTACTTAGTACTTTCAGTTTTCAGAAACCAGCTACTGCAGACATATGGCTGATTTATGTGTCTCAGAAACTCTCTCTACCATAACTATGGTCCGCTGTGGCTTATTGCTCTTTTTGTCTTTATTTTTCTTAATTTTAGGCTTGAATCCTCTGGTACAGATTGCTGGATTGATTGTTCCTTTGCTGATGGCAGTTGTGACATCATTCAGCTCCAAAATATGGAAGAGAAATAAAAGTGGGAAATGAGGACTGCAAAACAAAATCCAAAAGCAATAATTTAACAATATCACAGTACGTTTTCTTGATACTGTATATAAAACAAAATATATGTAATATATCATGCCTTTGTAATCATTAAAGACGTGTTAGTTATGTATTATAGTTATGAAAGCTGGTATAGATGTTTTAGGGATGAATCTTTTGATCATTGGTACTGTAGCATGCTAAAGATGAAATGTTGCTTTACTCACATGTCCAGATGTCAAGTCAAGACTGAAAAGTGAGCTTTAAGAAAACAAAACCATTTCTTTCCCAGTTATTGCAGACATGCTTATGTATTTTAAAATAACGAATTTATTGAGTGGATATCTTGGTGTCATTTGTGGCTTTTGTTCATACTGAATTAAAAGACATTCTTTATTAAGTGACATTAAAAACTGTTTCTGATTTAACAAATTTCAACAAGTAGATATAGTTCAAGTTTACAGGTTTTTGTGCTTCTTTTCAGTTCATTAATTCTTTCTCTAGAATTCTATTTTCGCTTAAACTCTTGAATTAATATTTACACACTCATTGTGTGGAACACAATAAAACCAGAGACTGTCATTTAAGGAGTTGCCCCGCCCCCGACCGTTTTTTTTTTAAATAAATATTGAGGCGTGAACTTAAAGGAGCATATTAGTGTGTGGATCAACTTTATGCAATTTAACTTTCTGAAAAGAAAGAAAACAAGAGCCATATTAAGAGCTCTTTTAATGTCCACGTCGGTTCTCAGTCATACAGGCCATGGTAATCTAAGGAGCTTGGAAAGAAAAGAGACTTCTTTAAGTTTCTTGATGATGTTTCACCTCTCATTCGAGAAGCTTCTTCAGGTCTAAAACCAAAGACGTTCCTCGAAATCCCTGCTGATAATGACCCACATGATAATTTGGAGTAAAGGTTAACACCTCATTCTTTATCATTGTTCAGTGACATTGAGGAGTCAAAAGGTAAGAAAAGCGGTTACAATAATAATTTGTAATCACTATTCATACCTGACAGATTCATACAGTAGACAGACAGAGGTAGCAACTAGCATTTGATTAAGTTAATATTTCACAGTTATATGACGAGTCTGTGGAGACTCAGGATAAATCTAAAAGACATGTGAATAATAATGTCAGCTTAAAGTAGACAGGAAAGGTAATAGATAATTCACTAATAGACAGAGAACATAATAACTGCCGACCGTACCTGCTACATTCATTTCAGCGTGTTAAATGTTCAAAAATAGCCTCATAGTCATTCATAGCTGCCTTATATAAAAATGGTTTATATAGTTGTTTCACAGGTTAAAGAGTAAATAATTAATCAAAACTAACGATAACTGGTAATTCTAATGGTTGTAGTTATTTTTATAATAATAATAAATTATACCTATACAGTAAGGCAAAAAGGCACACCTTGATTTAACTCAACAACAAATTTCCAGTCATGGACCAGTGCACAGACTGGTGGGGCCCCTCCAGCTGCCAAATGTTATCTATAGCACAATCACTGGTTCACAGTTTTCACAGGCTGTAGTAAACTTTTAACAAACAATCCAAAAGTCCTCCAACATTTATAGCATAATGTTCATATTCATTTACACAGAGATGATCTTTCAAATACCAGATATTACTCATTACTTTTTTGACAAGATTTTATTTTATTTATTTAATCTGTTTATATTAACAATGGCTTGGGAAGAGTTAGGGAAATCGTTTCACACAAGTGGTTCTGAAATGTTTCACAATGAGCACCACCTCAGAAAATATTTGACCCTTGAAATTCCACCATTGTGACCATTAAACTAATGTAGCATAGGCCTACATAGGAAGGCAAATGTCTGTTCTCTCTCTAACTTCTTCTGTCAGCTTCTCGCCATCATGTGTAGAAATGACCTGATTAGCTGAGTAGTGTCACATGGGATAAGTTAAACTGAACGTGTTTGGTCTGTGAGACTGTTCTACTTCATTTTGGGGTTCATTGTTCAGTTCTTCAACAGCTTAAAGGGATTGGCCACATTGAGGCCGTCTCATCACCACCTGTAGCTGCATATCCTTTTAGTCCATTGAGTCACACTGACGTTAACATTCTTTTACCTGCCTGTCCAGTTTTGTTTTCGACTGGTGAACAAGTTAATTCTCAAAGAACAACCGGCAGCACTTCATTGCATGGGGAGACACTAGAGTTCTTTTTGTTCCATTGGGAAGGAATTTCTGTTTCAAAACAAGTCAAGAAATTGTAATCTCTATGTAAGTAACTTTAGTCTGCAAAATGTAAATGTCTTGCATCAGAGTAATACAAGTTACACCCGTAATCTATTTTTAAAGTTTGTCTTCTAAGCCAGTAAAAGCACAGCTTTTAGTAAAGAAAATGTATAATGCATTCAGTTAATGGATCTGCACCTCCTGTTATTTGACTATATTTGATTTAGTTAATTTCAACTAAAGTTTGCTTTCTAATTCTTTATCCTTCCTCAGAGACATGGACCAGGGAAATGGTGAGAGAATAATTTTGCTTTATTTTTTAATATTTCCATTAAATATGTCAATATTAAGGTGAATAAGCTGCATTTACTTATTGAATGAGTAATAATTTCAAGTCACCCATATCAGTCATCCTAAAATATATCTTGTCAGATAAGTATCACTGACTTCTTTCTTACTTGTTAAAGCAAGACTAGTATAAGATCAATACAGAATTTGCCGGGGATAGCTGGTTTACAATCAGCTTATAGAGTAAAAGACTAATTATAATCAAATAAAACTTCCATTAGTGATGAAGAAAATGTTGCAATAGGTCAGATATTTATTTAATACATAGGGTGAGACAAGAAAGAAAACCCAGACTTTTAAACTTTGTTTTGCTTTCTGTTGTAATGCTAACTTTCCTATTGATAGTTCAGATTCTTGTGCACTTACCCAACAGGTTAGAAATGAAACATCTAGGTCAAATGTTCAGTCTTTTCTCTTCAGAGATAGTAAGTTGTGATTATTTCCTTGGCTTCCATTGGCTGTAGTCATTTCTACACAGAAAGCTACTTGATAATTTTGAATGGCTCACAAGGCGTCCGTAATTTCTATCTATTAGTTTAGCCTCAAATGAAAATAACACTGATTCACTCAGTGTCATGATCAAGCTGCATTTGCTGTATATATGAAATCAGTTGCATATTAATTAAGTATGGTGACAAAAAAGAAAAGCTTTGGTGTTTTGTCTTCAGTTTCAGAAAACTGTTATATGTTGTTAAATCTATCTTTAGGGTCGTGGAACGTTTTCCGTGTCATTTTGGCCGGAAGAACAAATGGCGCTCATCGTTCAATTGTTCAGAAGCTTAAAGACATTGGCCAAACTGAGGAAACATCTACACAAGAAAGTGACTACTGTGTGATTTTCTGTCCTGTGGTTTCACGAGTTGGGACAGACATTGCTGAGGCCCTCAACAAAATACCATGTAAGGAAAAATAAAAGTGACTTTTTATAAATAATTTAAGTGATTTATATACAGGGACACATGTAGGATACAGGCCAAGAACCACATGTGGTGTTTATGTCCTACAGCATGAATTCAAGATCTAGTAACCCAGCCCATTTATTTAATCTCTTTTCTGAATCATCTGATCATGTTGTGTCATTGTTTATAGTGGGTAAACGTGCAATTCTGGTGGTGATGCATCACACCTACAATCCACAACATGTTGTAGCTAAAAGCCGGAGTCAGGTGAACAACTCAAATGTGCATTTGACTGTGGATTGTCTGTTTTATGAGGACCAACTGCTTGACTGTGACCTCAATAATACCATGTGGAATGACATCCGGAGAACTCTTAGATCTCCAAATCACCAGGTAAGGATTTCACTTACTGATTTATTAATGGGCATACATGCAATAACTGATGTAAGTGGTTTGGTATTTTCAATAAAGGTATTGCTCCTTATTTGTTTTTTTTCTTTCTTTCTTCCAGACCTCATCATTGCAAGGCTTCCAAAATTGTACGTGAGACTCTTACATTCATTCAGCTTCCCTAATAAGTCCGTATTTTCAAAAGAAAAGTTTGATTAGTTTGTTTTAGAGCTAAAGTGCATCTTTTTGCTATCTGAAAACAAAAATCACATAATTTTTCATGTAATTTAGTACTGTGGAACCCCGACTTACGAAATTAATTTGTTCCCGAGGGTCTTTCATAAGTCGAAAATTTTCGTAAGTCGAAGCACCCTTTTTGAGTGAGGCGATGCTGAACAATAGGCTATAGGCTAAATGCTAACTAGAACAACAATACGTCGTTCAAGTGGAACAGCGAAGCGCAAGTACGGAAGCCAAGGGGTTGTCACATGATTCGGAAGGCATTGTGGACATTGTAGGCTCAGCCAATCAGAGCCAGCAGATTTTGTTACTTGGGCATTTTGCCGTAACACGGGCAAAAATATTGCCGTTCAGTGCCTTCGTAACTTGAATTTTTCGTGAAATGGGGTATTCGTAAGTCGGGGTTCCACTGTATTGTGAAAATTATTTATTCCTGTGAAAAAAAAATTACTTTGATGCCACTTTACTAAACGGCAACACAGTGGCCCAGTGGTTAGCATTGTTGCCTCACAGCAACAGGCTCCTGGATTTGAATCCACTGGTCACTGGGGCATTTCTGTGTGGCGTTTGATGCTCTCCCCATGTGTGCATTCATAGCCTCCAGCCCCCCAGCTGGAAACATATGCACTAATATGTGACAACATGCTTTGAATTGCAAATGATCAAAGATAACTTCTTACCCTCGTTTTTCTTTTTTGTTTTTTAGATTGGAGGAAACCTACCATAATATGGCTCATTATTGGTTTTTCTATAGCAGTGGTGATCATTGTGGTTATCGTGGCAGTCAGTGTGGAAATGCAAAAGAAGAAAGGACCTTGAGGTGTGCCATTAATGTGCCCCAACAAAACCAAAAAAAACCAACAAAAAAAATCTAATATCAGTATCAATTTACCAATATATTTTTTTTCTTGGAAGGATAAGAGATATGAGCTATGTAATCAGCAAAGGGTGTTGTTTTATAAAGAATTGTTTGGAAAGACCAACTGTCTTTGATATTTTCCAATTGTAAATAACTTTCTTACCATAGGAACGATTTGTTTCTGTTTTGAATTTTGGCTTACTTTGTTAAATAAATAATGACACTATGTAATATATTGTATAGTGTCATCTAAGGTTGGATTTATCTTATTTTAAAATCTTCTAATAGCCAGATTACCTTTTAAAATGATGTCAACATTCTGTGTATTGCATATTGTGTCTAGGTTTTAAGAAGATGTCTTTGTGGAAAATATTGAAAGAAAATAATTTTCACATTTTTCTGTAGTCTCAAGAGCAGATTCACATTATTTGGAACAAGGTAAACCAAAGTTCACAACAAAAGTTCTAACTATTAACTTACTATTACCATGTGTATTTTAACATGCATTTTCATTGTTTTTTTAGTAAGTACTAATAAACTTTCTTCTCATTACTATTAATTTTATTTAATTCTAGCTTTTAAAAGTTTCTGAGTAGCTATACAATCCAACAATAAAAACCATCGAGGTTTTTCAAAGGTAGCACAATTATTCATGTAGACACAAGGAAAAGGCATACAATTCTTGGAGAGAGTGAGTAGTGTGACTTTGATCACCAACTTCTACTACTTTATTGAGGAATCTTAAGCTGACTTGTACTCGAGTCCTCTGACAACTGGCAACTTGCATGTAACCTGGTGTAAAATATTGCCAGCAATTCAGCTCTTCTGATCTTTGTTTTCTTTCTTTCCACTTCATGACAGCTCTGCTCTGAGCAGTGGAGGTCTGAATGAGCAGGATTTGGTATCATGAGGGCGGGGGCTGGAAGGAAGGAAAGGGGATGGGGTGTTAAGGTCACGCCTCTGGCCTAAAAAGGCAAAGCAGAATACCAGTTGACGTGAGCCGATCTAAGAATAACTCAGGGCCTTGGGCTTAGAAATTGAAAACACACTATGAACGTAATAGGAAAAATTTGAATTCAGACTTTGAAAGTTTGCAACTGAATACTTTGAAAATACAAATACGCAGATTTGAGAGTTTATGATACAATTACATATTGTTTTAACACATGTGAAAGCACTATCCATACTGTGACCATGTGACTCCAACGGCAACATAGGCTGGTGGGATAAAGTTACATTGAAGCTCTCGCTCCTAGTCTCTTTTCTCTCTTTCCCTTCCATCATCCGTCAGTCCCTGTGCTCGGTCTAATTCTGTCTGAGCCAGTGGAGGTGTGGGTGGGGGGACAAGCTGCTCTATCTACAATCCCAGCCCTAAGCAGGCAAAGGGCAAAGACACGGGCCACGTTAACTTGGTCTCTGTCTGTCTCCCCAGCCTGATCCACTGGGACAGAAGTCAGCTTTCAAGACTTTCTAAACCAAGACTCATTAAAACTTTCTGATGCCTGGAAATATAGTGCAGGATTAAATCCTGAGAATGGACAAAGGGGTGTAGGGTTTCTGGTGGTGGCCTCTGGTTTAATTTTTTCATATTCCCATTTATCACAAACCTTTTGGATGACGTTGCTGGATTGGAATTAAACACTGGGATTAAATTGTGCAGACGATCCAAGGATTTACCACAAGTATTTGTTTTCATGGCAACAAAATCTCCATAAAGGATTTAAGTTTTGTAACAGAATATTTATTTTGAAACCATGACCGAAGCAGCTGAAGGTAAAGTATCACCTTGGTTACTCTTTGACTTTGACCATTTCAACAACTTCTTGCCTGAAATATGCCTCTTATCATTTTATATGAAATTCTGCGGAGCACTGTACGTCTGTTTTGCACACAGACCTTCTGATGTTGTGCTAAGTGGTGTGTAGGAGAATTTCATGATTAGAAGTATCTAAAAATATTCTGCTATCATGTATCTGCTATTTGTAATGCAGCTTCAGATCCCCATGACACCGACTGTGCAGTATAGGATCAGTCAGCATCAACACTGTTCCTGCTGTTGCATATCAGCTGATGTTGTGACACCATTTTACATGTTTTTGCCTGGCATAAAGAAAATGAGACAAGAGGATCTTTGAACAGACATTTGGCATTTGTGCACCGTCAAGTTCATAAGATGCCCACCAGTTTTAATTACTTCAAAACCATTCCTTGTCACTGTAGCATGACAGCTGGGTCTAAATACTACAGTACCAATGAGCCTCAGCAACACTGTGATAGAAAAGAAGACAGTCATGGGCTCTAATCTGGTGCAGTTTGTTTGGGCAATTTAAAATGCTTCATTGTTTTAGTTGACAAAAGATGGTACCACAGCTACTCAATTCAACACAGACACAGAATTGAAAATGAAGTAAAACCATATTATTTAGCTCTAGTCCATCATTAGCAGCTAAATAGCAGCTATTAGCAGCAGTTCATTTCCCCACTGAAGATTTTAAGTAAATAAAGTCATTTGAGTCATCAAAGATAAATTGATGTTAAATGTTTCAACTTAATAGTAAATCAGGACAACAGTAAATGAAATGACTATCCAAATCCATACTTTGAAGTCCATTCAGTATTCTATGTTGACTGAACTCACATTGTGAAATTCTTGGGGAAAAAATAACACACTGCCCCAGTGAAAACTGTGGGCACAGTAAGCCAATCACTGCTACAGACATTTGTCTGTATGCAAGAAAGTGATTTGTATGAGTAAGTGGACTCCCAGTCTTGATAGGATGTTATCTTTGAGTTGACATGTGGATGTGTAAAATAAAAAAAATATGATTTTCTGACATATCCTATGTAAGGAAGCACATTTACAAATATAGCATCCGATGTTGCTGAGTGCTCTGGGATCGTGATGTTGTGGGAAAAAAACAAAAACAAAAAAAATGTCATTGTATGGTAGATGATTCCTCTGATTGTTCAGCAATTACAAAAGACCACCCACAGATAGGAAGACAAAAAACGTCAAATGTTAGACAAATAATATGCAATTTTTGGCAGGGCTAACCTTTGCAGCTCTATGAAAGGCCTTTTTCAAAGAGGAGATTTTGACAGACTACAGTAGGACAAACATACATATGTATGTTTGCTCTCAGCCTTTTTTTTTTTTGCTCTCAGCCTTAAACCACAAAGAAAAGCAGCTAATCAGCTAAAAGCTGCTGTGTGGGTGTACACACACATACTTATGCTAATGAGATGATTATTGTTATCGAAATGACAGCTGAAATGACAGTATAAAGAGCTGATTATCTTCACGTTAAGAATTATGTTGGAAAAAACAAAACTATAATTTTATGGTCCACTTATGCTTTTCTCAAATAGTCAGTCACATTTTATGATGTTAATTAGTGGATGTAGATGAACATGACAAGTGCCAATGAAAGCCTTTTACATATGCTAAAAGCTTCAGGAAACTTTAGTATTTATTTGTCAAACTAATACTTCCAATAATCATGAACGAACATTCATGCTTTAAAATTCAGTTTCTTAGTGTCCACACTTTTTTTTTAATGTTCTCATTCCTAATTATAAGAATTTACATGTTGCCCCTGCGGGTTCCCTCTGTGTACTCTGGCTTTCTCTCACCGTCCAAAGACAGAGTACACAGAGGGAACCCACTTTAAGTTAATAGGTGATTCTTAACTGGCCATGTGAGCATGAATGGGTCTGTGTCGATGTGTTATCCAAGTGAAAGAGTGTCACGCTGTCAAGGGTGTACCTTGCCTCTTTAATGCCTAGATTATTCCTAATATCTAAGCTATTAGGGTGTAATTATTACCAATGATATTAGGAATAATAAGATTATTTCCTAATTTAAATGCTTCTGTCAAGACAGCCAGTTATCTTATAATTCTTTTTCTTTTTCAGAAGAAAATAAATTATGGAAAAAGGCTTAGTTACATTCCCCTTTGGAATCCTTTGGAATGGTGCTTCTTACAAGACTAAGAAGACCTGTATGTGTGAAAGACTGGAACAGCTAAGCATTTAGAAATGAAAAAAGAAAAGATTTGTATTGAAATATAACATACTCAGGTGCAACAATGCTTCTTTCAATTTCAGTCAGAAGAGTTTACGAAGAACTTGCTGTGGAGATGCTTCATAGTTGGGGAATTAATGTCATGGCTGTGAGGCAAAGCGGAGAAGTAGTCTCTCTGTCACTTTCAGTAAAATTAGAAACCACTGGGTGGAAAGAATTCCAGTTGTTTAGTATACTTGTATACTAGTATACTGTTATTTTCCACATAAATATTACAAATAATAGAGTCTGTAAACCAAGCAAACAACCTGTTTGCTTTCTCTGTTGTAATATTAAGAATTTGACACCTGAATGTTGTTGTAGGTTATGTTGGAATCAAATTTCTAACCTGATTTATAACACTTATCAGGCTCAACCATCCGGATGTTAAAAGGTCTCTGCTGTGTTTAGTTCAGTTCTGTGCACTCATTACTGAAATGTTATGACAACACTTCCCTGCATTCTGGCTCCACTAGCTCCTAATGACTGCTCTGAGCTCAGCTGTCATGGATACCCTGTGAGAGCAATGGCAGAAATGTCATCCACAGCATGGAGGCAGGTCAGCCATAAAAGGAGGAATCATACATGGATGGATGGTCACACCATTTAGAGTTGAGTTTTGAAAACAGTGGTCAAGGAAAATATCAAGTCCAAAGGGGAAGGACATATTCACATGCTATTAATGTTTTTATTTCCAGTACTAAATTCCAAAAATGGTCTTTATTGTCTTGCACGTGTTACAATGTCTGCATTGAGGGTTTTGTTAAAATAGGAGCTCACAGACTGGTAAAATGAATACATGAAACTGTTTAAAAAGATAGATAGAAAATAAAAGATAGACAAAATAGAAGTACAAGTACACAGGGATCTCTTGTCAAATTCATGATTAATTGTTTATAAGTTGGATTTGGACCACAGTGCTGAACTACACATCATCAGTGAACTGCAGTGCATGGTCAAATCTATCCATAAAAGCCTGGAAAAAAGAAGGAAGGCTCTCAAAGAATTACTATTGTCAATACACCTACAGTATAGCCAGTCAGAAGCCTGTGTATCAGTTGAAGACTTTGGGCAGCTACAACTGCAGATTTACACCAAAAATTCTAACTTTGTAAAGATTTCTGAAATTATCAAGGCCTAATGTAGGCCATATTCAGTTAGTTGTTTCCATTGCTACAGAGAAAAGTATAAAGCAGGTTAAAGTTCTGTAACAGAGTAATTTGTATTATTAGTCTGTGAACTTTGGAATATTGCTACAAGACACTACATCAACCTCTAAACTACATAATTTGTGATCAAATATATCTAGCACTATTAAGATATCTATCCCATTTCTGAGTGCCCAGTTTGATTGTAGTGTGGTCACTAATTGACCATATACTTTCAACTAGGCGTGTGGATGGACTGACAAACCCAGGACAAATATTATTTGAAAACAAAGATGTAGACATTCATAGCACAGGCAGTATTGCTGAAGGTTCTGTATCAGTGGTTATTAATATTACAGGTGGCAGGGGTTTTCCTGGCTTTGAACAGGCACTTGTGTGTGTGTGTGTTCCTGTCTAGCTATCTTGTGAGAACCAACAGTCACTTGTGAGGACACACAACCTGGTCCTCACAAATTTGAAGGCATTTAAAGGCATTTTTAGGCTCAAAATGTGATTTTAGTGTCAGGGTTAAAATTAGGTTATGGTTAGGTATAGGGTAAGGGTTAGGGTTAGGCATTCATTTTTAGGGTTAGGGTAAGGGGCTAGGGAAAGCATTATGTCAATGAAGGTCCTCACTAAGATAGCTGAACGGGGTTGTGTGAGTGCGTGTGTGTGTGTGTGCGTGCGTGCGTGTAAGCTATTTTGCGATTTCTTGATAAAGAAAAATGTTGGTTAAACCATATAAATGGCCAATTATGGAATAGGTTAAAAATAGAACTCTATTATAATGTTGATGGCTGCTCTTTAGTGCTGACTGAAAACTTTGTGAGCAGAGAGAGAGTTGAAAAATCCTGGGTAGAGAAATGACTGCTATAAAATACGTCCATTGACATTTTAGAGAACATTTACTCGCAGTTTAAACTACAACAACTCAATGGTGTCATTACAGTCATCTCACAACAGGCTCCACAACTTGTTATTCATGTTTTGAAAAGACCAGTAAAAATCAAACACACACACACACACACCTCCCTCTAACCTAATTGCTCTATGTGTGTTTAGAGTCCTGCTAAGCTGTTTGAGTCAGCAGTAAGAGAGTATCCCACAGTAGCTGCCAACACTGAGCTGAAGAGAGTCAACAGGTGGTCTAAGCTTAATACACCCACAGACATATGAACAACTGGATGGTGACTGGTGTTATGAGACAAAGCAAACTCTTTATGCTGCACTGTTGTATGAAGCAGAGCCCAAGCAAAGCAATACATTAGAAAAAACATAAATGAAAACACACAAAAATCCAGATTAAGAAATCTACACTAACAATACTTGGTTAGTGAGTCTAAATAAACCATATGGGCATGGATGGTAACTGCTCACTTACAGGATAAACTAAAAGTATCCATCAATCATTCATCCACTTTCTTTCCACTTTCCACTTGAGGATGACATGGGAGCTGGAGCCTATCTCAGCTGTCATAGGATGAAAGACCAATCTGAATTTAAACATTAACACTAACTGTGGCTGAATAATGAAAAACTAAGGCTAGTTAGTTTATTTTATACAGTGCTCAAAACATTTAAATGAACACTCTCAGAGTATAGAACCAAGTCAGTCCAATTTCTTGGCATATTGAGGTGGTCAGTTGGTCAGTTTAAGCTGATTAGGTGTCAATAAAAATGCCTACAGGTGTGCATAAGTGGCAACAATGACACAACCCCAAAACAGGAATAATTTTTTACTAGTTTTGCTAAGGTCAGTGTCACCACTGGTCACATGAGCTGATACCTAGACCCTACAGAGGTTGCATAGCTCCTCCAGGATGACATGTCAATACATGCCATTGCCAGAAAGTTTGGTTTGTCTTCCAGCTCTGTCTCAAGTACATGGAGGAGATTCCAAGAGACAGACAGTTACTCTAGGAGAGCTAAACAGGGTCGTAGAAGGTCCTTAACCCAGCAGCAGGACTGGTATCTGCTCTTTTGTACAAAGAGAAATAGGATGAGCACTGCCAGAGCTACAAAATGACACCCAGCAGATCACTGGTGTGAAACAGACTTTATGAGGGTGGCCTGAAGGCCCAATGTCCTCTAGTGAGTTATCGTCGGGATATCAAGGGACAAACAGACCTTCACAGGCAACAGCACCCTGATTGCCATTAGCTATCACCAATGTTAGATTCAATGCTCATGCAATGGGTTCTCCTGATGCACAGTAACGCCCGGCCTAATGTGGCAAGACTGCAGAAAGTGCCTAGCATAGGCACTGGCCCCCATGCTTGCCTGACCTAAATCCAAGAGAACACCTGTGGGACATTATGTTTTAGTCCATCTGATGCCACCATGTTGCACTTCAGCCTGTCTAGGAGCTCAGTAATACCCTGGTTCAGATCTGAGAGATCCCCCAGGACAACATACATCATCTCATTAGGTGCATGCTCTGACATTGTCAGAAACATATAGAAGCATGTGTTAGGCATAAGTCTACTCAGTACTGATTTGTGTTGCTTCACCGAAATTTCGTCAAAATGGACTAGCCTGCCATATCAAAAACTCTTCACTAGCAGCTAGGGCGACCGTGGCTCAAGAGTTGGGAGTTCGCCTTGTAATCGGAAGGTTGCCGGGTTCGAGCCCTGGCTCGGACAGTCTCGGTCCTTGTGTCCTTAGGCAAGACACTTCACCTACTGGTGTTGGGCCGATGGCGCGATATGGCAGCCTCGCTTCTGTCAGTCTACCCCAGGGCAGCTGTGGCTACGACTGTAGCTTGCCTCCACGAATGGGTGAATGGGTGGATGACTGGGTGTGTAAAGCGCTTTGGGGTCCCTAGGCGGGACTAGTAAAAGCGCTATACAAATACAGGCCATTTATATCATTTTTTAAAATTTTGGTTTTTCAGGATGTTTTTTAAAGTCAGCATTCTGTAGTTTGACAATTTAGATCAAACAAGATGGCATTCTTTTATTTCTAACACATTACCCACTCCACATCAGTATCAACATCCAGGATGACTTTTGTCCCACTCATATCTGAATCGTACAGGACCGGAGCAAATCAAACCTTCCTAGGGGACAGCCAAGGTAAACCATGAACACTTTGCTCTATGCTGGCCAACACACAGAGGCAACCATTCAATCTCACATTCAGACCTTTGGCCAAATTAGAATTGCTTGTTATACTTGCAAACAAAAAGCTTGGGACTGTGGGAGGAAGCTGGAGAAACCAGGCTCCCAGCCATTACTCTCTTTGTGCTGAAGTTTCACAACCAAAACTTTAAGACATCTGCACCAAAAATGCCATTTCAGCCAGTCAGACTGTTTTGTGCATCATTGTTTCCTTTATATAGGCTTACATTGCTTTGATCTTTGAAGATGTACATGCTAAGAAAAATAAATTTCCCTCAAATAGTTTAAACCTGAAGTACAGTAACAAAGTATTTGTACTTTTTTACTTCTCACCTCTGCTATAAGTGGCAAACCAGGCTGTAACTGCACCAACAGTAGCTCCTAGTGAAGAGTTTTTGTAATGTGTATTTAAATAAAGCAATGGGTTTTGTTTTCATAGCTTCTGATTTTACTAATTTTCTTAGAATATTAGGGATAAAAAAAATTAAAAAGGTGCTGTGCATATTTTACTAACCAAAGTTTCTGATATTTTGTTCATTAGCACGAACATCGACCACTACAACCATGGTCCTCGATCACAAGAACGGAGACGCTGGGGCACCACCTCTGCGGGTGTTGAAGAAATCTTTTACAGATGACTTTTACTCTACTTTCAGCTCCCCGCTGGCCTGGATCTTGGTTCTGGCTCTTATCATTACTTGGTCTTGTGTGTTCGTCATTATGTTTGATCTAATGGACTACAAGACCATTTCAGGTACAGTATCAGCAGCCTTTCAGTTTCCTGTGGAGTTGAAAATGATATTTTGAGGGTAAACTTGCTAATGCAGGAAGTCAATCAATGAACAACCAAATGGGACTGGTTTGACCAAAGCAGCTGCAATAACTGTATTCACTTTGGAGTGATAAAGAGGGAAATTTCTAAGCAGTATATGAGCAAATTAGAGAAATTATGTCTCATTACATAGGTTCATCTATAGTATGCTGTGCCAAATAACTAATAACAAATAATTAAGCATGACCCTGAGAACCAGTATACTGTGAAGAATTTACTTTTTAACTTTAATGCAAATATACCTCATTATTTTGTATTCCACAATTACCTCATTTTTTTCATACATTTATGTTTCATCTGTTATTATACATTATGTTTTGCTGCCAATATAGAGTTGAGTGTTGAAAGATGATGGCACACCCACACAACACAAGCTTGGTCTAGAAAAGTACTGGAGGTCATAAATTCTGGTGTCTGTTTGTGCAGGTAGGGCAGCGTTGTAGTTCTTCTCATTACAGGGAGCTCTCCAATCCAGGAGATGTAAGATGAGCCAAGAGCCAGACCAAGTCCCAAATAAGGGAAAAGCCAAGTCTAAACTACAGCTACTCCCTAACTTTTTAACCGATCGTGTTAATGTTCTGTTCATGTGTCTCATAATAAAAGTGTTTACTGTTTTGGTGTGATGCCCTTTGTCTGGTTGGCACGTGGTTTTAACCTCAACCTTCAACTGCTCTGTAAATTTTGAAAAGTTATACTTTGAGTTTATTTGTCTTGCCTCATTAAAAAAAAAAAAAGGGAACCCAACAGTACCTGGGTGCCTTATCTGCACTAGGTCAAAGTTTTTATTGCAATCTATATTTGCATTTATTGTTTATTGTTCAACTTTTTTGTTCAACAGGCCATAAGGTTTATCGTGAGATGAAGCTCATTTCATATTTACACAAACGATCTTTGGCATCTTAAACCAAAGATAAGGCTAGTTTAATAATAGCAACAACTTGTACCTCAAGGTGTGTGAATATGTTGTTAATCTGGTTGGACGTGCCTTCAGTGTTTATCATTTGTAAAATCTCATGAACCTTCATACCGCTATGAGTGAATGAGCTTCCATGGGAAGGACAAAAGATTATGCTGATAAAGTCGTTTCACAGTTTTCCGATACTTCTGTTGTTTGAAGCATTTTTTTTAAACTCTGATTTTATTTGAATGCATTTACTTACCACACACTGTTAGATGTCTGCAATTATGAACAACTGGTATAAAGCTTGCTAGTTTAATTTCTTCATATGTTCATATGTAACAGTAACACCACCAAATAACAAGCATTGGGTCATTTTGTCATCACTATATTAAAAAGCAATGCTTGGAAATCTATTAATTTAAGCTGTGTGTGTGTGGCACTGACAATTTTACAGTGAAAAAAAAAATTCTGTCTAGTTTTTTTAAATTAATTTTTATTTCTACTCCAATGCCTTTACTTTAATTTTAGTTAATTTGTTCCGTTTTCAGTTTTTTGTTTTAGTTTAGTTTAAAATAACCTTAATGTCAACACAAATACTTCACCTTACACGACCCTTCCTTTCCTTTCACTTTCTTTGTTTTCCTTTGCTTCATCACTATACTTAAATTCTTTACTTATTGCCACTGTGTTTTTCATCCAACCAGGTCACCCACCCAGGAGGGTTTTTAAGGATTCAGGGCGTAGAGGCAAGGCACCATATCTGCTACCAAATCGTCAGAACAGACACTTCTTCTAAGGGCACTAATAAAAACAGCTACTAACTCCCTAACATTGACTGGTAATGTTGGCTGTCAATGTTAGAAAGTCCTTTACAGCCTTGTTGGACCTGTAGAGGGATGATAAATTAGGCTAAAGACTGCTTTTTGTCTATTACTGCATTCATGCTTGATTCTGTCTGTTTTCTAGGTGTTCAGTCATGTTAAGAGTAGTTTGTAGTCAGAAGAGGTTCTATAAGTGACGTGGACTAATTCCTGCTCGGTTTCTTAGGTGGTATTTGTTTTGTTATTATTCAAAAAAATTTGAATATTTGTAAAAGTAACACATTTTCTGTTTCCAAAAATTATTTTGAATATTTGAAATTCAGGTATGCTTGATTTATTTACTGCAAGTATCAGTGTTCTCTGTCTACAGAGTAAGAAACTCAAGCTCTCCTGAAATCTTCGGATTTTAAACCAAACTGTGTTCCACTGCATTTCTGTTTTTCCTTTTTCCCAGTGCGTATTTTAGCTTTACTTGGTATAAATTCTGTTTTATTTCAAGTTAAACTAAATCTGATAAGGCTCATCTAGGTAATTCCAAAATGAACAATGTTTTGGTGGTATTTCCACTTGGAATGCAGGTCCCTCTTTCATCAAATTGGCTTGCAAACAAGTCAGAAAATTCACGTCTTTTGAGTTTAATTGAATTTAGTTTGAAGGAATTTATTGCACAAGTTCTAATGTGCAGATTCAATGTCAGATTCACATACAGATGTTCAAACAAAGATAAACAAAAATATTTAAATATGAACAAAAGAAAAATAACCTGTTAGCCTGACTTTTAAAACTATGAACACCGACTTGATGAAAGACAGTCAATATGATTTTTAAATGCTCTTTGCACAGCAATATGCTCTATATTTGCAGCCCTTTGTGATGGTTTAACTGGAATGTCGGTTACTGTTCTTTGTAATTGAAGATTGAAAAACTCCTGAAATGCAGATTTCTGCCTTTCAAGTTAAGCTCCTGTTGCCCCATCCCAGTTTGAACATCATGCTTTCTCATTTCCTCACTCTAGAGGAATGATAGCTTTGTCTGTATTGAGGAAATGTGACAATAAGAGTTGAGGAACTCTTAATTGTTGGGCTTGGTACAAAAACAAGCAGGTGAACAACTCCAGTCAAACTTCACGAGTAACTAAAACATCTTTTTGTTTGTGTGCCTGTATTCATGTTCATGCTCCATCAGGAGGCCTCAGCAAGATCAGCTCAGACCCCATGAAGGCGGTAAACGATGCCGTGGATGAATCATCAAACATAATCACAGGAATAGTGAAATTTGCTGCCAACTTAATTGCTCCAGACGACGATGAAGGTTCATGACTTTATGAACATATTCAAATTCTGTGACTGCAATTTATCTGATGATATGCTAGTTTTCACTTTTCTCTCTTCTTTCCCAGGAACTCTATATGCAGTCAGAAAAAAAGGTTTGTACTAATTCTGCTTTTGAGTGCATATCCCATTTAAATCATCCAGCTGTAGAATTTGAACTGAAAAGCCTTGCTTGCTGCTTTTTGCACTTCTTTTTCACTGTGCTGCTTTACATGTGTTGTTCTCTGCATTATATATTCTCTGGGGGGTTTAAGTGGACTTCTACCAACATAAACCCCCTCCAGGAAAAGTAATTTCAGCTGTCATTACGCATGAAAAATCAAAACTCTGAAATGGCAGTTTCTGGGGGCATGCTACTGCTTTGACTAATGTGTTTCTTTACAATGAACAACACATGTACTGCAAGTTTTTTTTAATGTGTCTCTGAAAAAAAAAAATATATTTTTTTCTAGAAGTTTTGATTTGTTGTATTAATAGAAGATACAACAGACGTCATTGCATAAGCTTCATATTTTACAGACATAGTTTACTGAAATATTTAAGTTTAAAGAAAGTTTGTTGGAAGGTATTCGTAGACATGCCTGAATAAAGATGCCAGCAGGGACAGAATCATGTTTGCTGAAATGGTGTTATATCCAAGTTGACTATATCTATGAACCATCTCAAAGATTCAAGTTGGTTGGATGATGTGGATGATGAAGTGGAGGTGAAAAGTAAGAAAACAGAAGGTATTCAATATTAATACATTTCTGAGAATGTTCTTATGAAACTTAATGAAATAATGATAAGTTCAGTTCTCACACCTAATAACAGACTAATGATGGAAACAAAAGAAAATCATAATAGTCAACTAAAAGCAGAATCTTACTTCTCTCCTTTTTTTAGTTGCACTGATTCAAGCAGCTCTTCTGATTGTAGGATTGTTTGCATCTAACTTGCAACCAACTGATGCTAATTGCCACAACTGAGCTTCTTAATTTCCACTAAATGTGTCCGTGAATTGGTATACTAATTGTACTAAGAGTGAAACATTTGGTTTTTAAATTCTTTAATTACATATATCATTTTTTTTTTCTGTGCTGCAGGAGAATTTCTACCATCACGAACTAAAGGTCTGTAACTCTCATTTTTACTTTGTTGCCAATTTTACTGCTAAATACTTCATTTAGATTAATGGAATACTTATCACGCCCATCACCGATATTGGGTTCTCCTTAATCCCCGTTTTCAGTGTAATTTTACTCCATGCCTTTACCTTTTTAAAAAAAAAAAGAACTGTGCCAAACCATGCATATGAGGCAGTGAACCATCTATCTGCACTACATTTACGGTTACGGACGTTTTCTTACAGACTTATTCTTCTCTTTCAGCAACAACTGCAGCCTTAGCTTACTTAAACTCTATGACTGAGTAAGGTCACTGCCTGTTAGGAATTCACTTTTCTGTTGCTGAAATAAATTCTCTCACACGTGGATTAAGTTACTAACCACAACAAACTGGCTAAATTAGTCTGATTCATTCATGTAGCAGCAGTTTGGCCGGTGTTACCTTGTTAAGTGAGGCAGTGGAGATGGGTACACAGCTGGGGGCTTACTGATTTGTAGCCTGCCTTTAGTGCTGCTCTTCCAGCTTTTTTTGGCCTTTGAGCATTTGAGCTAACACAATGTAGCCACTTCGTTGAGGTGCGCTCATGGGTGCACTAATTTACCCTACCCTGTGCCTTGACTTACAGGCTGGCCTGATTGAGTCACTGACGTTTATGCTTAACTAAATCCAGACTGAAAACTAAAACTAAGTGTGAAAATATATTTAAATATACTGAATTTTTTAAAATGCCTTCGAAAAAAAAACCCCACAAGTCAAATGTACTGTGAAAGAAATAGAGAGAAAGTGTTGTAATAGCTATTCTGAATTTCAATTTTGCACCTGACCAAGAACTACCATTTTGTAATGATCATAAACAAGCAGATTGTAAATAAACGAATAAAAACTCAGCTAAACCTAAACAATTTCAAATAATAACACTGAAACAAGCAAACTCTAACAAAAATAAATGAAAAAATAAAAACTAATGAAAATATACAAAAAAATAACAATAGTTCCTTAAGCTTTAAGATAGTTTGTGTACAAAATTAATATATCACTGACTTTTACAAAATTATTATTATTATTATTATTGACTCATTTTAATTATTTCTACTTTTATTATTGCTATTTTAATAGACTAATTTTAACCATCATCACTTTTTGTCAGTATAGCAACGTCATAGTTATCATGAATCCATAGTAATGTGTAGTGAAAATCTAGCATCCCAATGGGTCACACTGATAAGTGTGACACTTGAATTTTACCATTTTTGTGTTAATACAATATTATTCAAAGAGAAATTGCGGGATTTTTACTTTTTACTGCTCTCTTAATTTGATTAACCCATTTAATTTTTTATAGTCATAGGAATGCAAGCACAAAAGCAACCACCAATGACTGAAGTTCTGGAGGATGAAAAGGGGGAGGGAGAGGCAGAGGGAGAAGAAGGAGATGAAGGAGAGGAGGCTGGGGAGGACGAAGAGGAGGAGGAAGAAGGGGAATATGAGGAAGAGGAGGAGGAGTATGGAGATGAATATGAGGAAGAGGAGGAGTATGATGAGGAGTATGGAGATGAATATGATGAAGAGGAGGAATATGAGGAGGAAGAAGAAGTAGATGAGGAGGAGGAGGAATTGGAGGAGGAGGAGGAGGGGGAGGAGGAAGAGGCCAAAGGAGATGAAGAGCAGGAAGGCGAAGAACTGGAGGATGAGGAAGAGGAGGAAGGCGAAGAACTGGAGGATGAGGAAGAAGAGGAGGGGGAGGAGGAAGAGGCCAAAGGAGATGAAGAGCAGGAAGGCGAAGAACTGGAGGATGAGGAAGAGGAGGAAGGCGAAGAACTGGAGGATGAGGAAGAGGAGGAGGATGATGAAGTTTCTCCTGAACCCATTTCCACTTCTGAGGATGAAGAGTCGGCTGTATCTCCTGATTCTGAGTCCGATGTTCCTGTTGGGGTGACAGACAGTGACGAAGAGGTAACTTTACCCGAAGAAGATGATGAAAACGACAAAGAAGAACAGGATGAAGATGAAACCAGTGACGATCAACTTCTTTCCAGTGAAGAGGAAGAGGGAGAGGACGAGCTGGAGGATGATGAAGAAGATGATGAAGATGATAGACTAGCTGAGGGTGTTACTGATAGTGATGATGTCATTGCAGAAGACACTAGCGATGACCTGGATCTTCCTCCTATTGTAGCTGGTAGTGAGGATGAGGAAGATATTGATCACAAACTGGCAGAGCAAGAAGATGAAGATGAAGAAGATCTTTCTCCACTTCCTGCTGAAGATGAAGACTTGGAAGAAGACATAAAAACTGTAGAAGACACAGTCGAGGAGGAAGATGATGAGGAGCTGGACCAATCAGACGAGGACATCTCTGTTGCATCCTCCGAACACTTTGCAGATGATGAAGATGATGAAGATGATGAAGAAGACCTTAAAGATGATGACCTTGACCTGGACTTTGACAAAGACATCCTTGAAGACCTTAAACACAAAGATGCTCAAGACAAACCTGATGTCACTGAAGAGGGCATCCCTGATGATGACAAAGAGGAAGAGGAGGAGGAAGCTGGCATTCCTCCCTTTACGAGCACAGACAGCGGCGTCTTAGGTGATGAAGATGATGAGGATGACATTTCCTTTGAAACGGATGAGGACTCCACTGGAGAAACAATTCTGAGTGACTCTTATGACACAACTGATGATAAGGATGTTGATACAAGCTCTTTAGATGAGGAGGATGAAGAAGATGAGGATGAAGATGAAGAAGATGATGGTGTTAGTGAAATCTTGATGGCAGGTATTGTACAACTTTATTTTTTACATTTAGTTCTTATAAACACAAGAAGGATGGACAAAAATGAGCTAGAAGCAGCACAGGAAAGGTGATTTTTCATATTTCATGCTTTAAATACACAGTTGTCATAGTATATTGTGTTCTGTGTTTTTATAGCTGCTGCTGCAGGAACATTAACTGTCCAGGAGGAGGCAGCAAAGACTGATGAAGACCATGAAGAAGGGGATGAGCTCGAAGAGGCTGAAGATGAAGGAAAGACTGAAGACGCAGAAACAAAAGAAACAGGTTTGTATCAAACAGCTGTTGTGGTGCAAAGGATTCATAAATGTTTTCAATATTGTTTCTAAAACCTGTTAATGTGCAATGAAACCGGAATATATGTATTCCTGATAGTAGGAATAGAAGGCAACACTAATAATAATAATTTAAAAAGGTAGCATCTTATTAAAGGAGATGCAAATAAGACAAATAATAAGCAACAACAACATATTTATTAAAGAGTGGGCAGTATGTCAGGTGTGACTGTGAAATCTGTGACTTCGCACTGCCACCTACAGGTCAGTCAAACTTAGAGAAACAGATAAATTGGATTCAAAAGCATCAAAGCTATGTGTGTCAAATTAAGGTTACATGGCCAGTAAATTTATAAGAAGTTTTGTTCATTAATTTTTCAAATTCTTTTGCAATTACTTCTACAAATATTGTTAATAGTATACCTTTTGTAGGCAGTAAAAAGCATCTATTTTATTTAAATGTTTTACCATTATACATTTATTTCTGCCCTAAGCAGGCAACACTATCAGTGCTTGTCCACCTTAAAAAATATGCAAGAGTGGACAGATTGAGAGGCCAATTTACAGCTTATAAAAAACACTGAAATGTCATTGGAATCTCTGTAGAAGGTGGTAAGTTTAAATTGACTGTAGCTTATTTTATTTCATCACACATATTGTTCCTGAAAGTCAAGAGTCTATCCTGCTCAAATTTCTTTAATTGCTTTGTTGCCCTTAACAGAGTAGAAAACCTCAAATCCTTTCGTTTTTTTCCTTGTTGTGTGACATGATTCTATGATAGAGCCACTTTCTGCTTTTACAGGCACCACCCGGCCTGCAGCTCCAGAGGAGAAGGATGAGGGCAAAGATGAAGAGCCAATTTCTAAACCTGAGAAATCTGTAGATGAACAAGAAGACAAGAAAGAGGAGTATGATGAAGACGAAGATGAGGATGAGAAGGCATCGGTGGATGTGATCAAACCTGTTCCTGGACCAGAGGAGACAGCGCCAAAGACAGAGCCCACAGGTCAGAACCTGAGGAGAATTATAAATGCTTTGTCATATTTGTTTGTCAGGGTAACATTAATTTTATGCTTTGTGATTCCAGTGTGTCCCTGTATGCACTCTGCAAAGACCAATGAGTCTCCCACTAAGACTGCTAAGGCAAAAGGTCTGTGATGGTTTCATAATGTCTGCTGTACATTTTTCTTATAACACAGTGTCAGTGAAAGACTGTGTGGTTGAATTTAAAGTACTGTTTTTTTAAAGTACCTAAGGTTTTCAAATGAAATAAATGATGAAGTGTATTTCATATAAAATAAGTTATTTTAATGAGGTGGAAACTGTATTATCTAATAACAGTATATGGCAATAGATTAAAAAAAAACCCTTGTGAGAAAACATTTAGCACATGTTTTATCTTATGCGATTACATTGTATCTAGACTTCTTTTATTTTCCTACAGCAGCAATTGTATTGATCATTTGTGCAAGTTTTAATTCATTCAGTAATTTGACAAAAAAACAAATTGAGTTTTCTAACTTTCTAACTGTTTCAGATGCATACAGAATCAAAACTATTTTTTTTTAGTATTTTTTAGTCTTAAAAGCAGAAAAAATCCCATATATCATTTCAATGTTCATATTCAACACACGTGAAACGCTTGTTTTTTTTCTGTTGAGGATTTATAGATCATATTGCATCATAATGCACCATCACTGTTCTCCACAAGATAAAAACTAAATATGTTCTTTGTGCAAGCTGTAGTTAAATTTTAATGTAAAGATGGTGCAACAGAGAGAATGTAGAATATGTGATGGTGCTCATGAGAAACTGGGTGTAACTTGGAACCCAAACATGTTTAACATTTAGATCATGTATTTAAGTCTCTGTGTATCAACCAAGTGGATTGTTTGTTTGTTTTTAAAGCCTTGTGTGACACAGAAAATAAAAATGCAACTCAATGTAAAACTTAAAAGTGATCCCATATGAGATTTGAGCTGGAGTCTCTTTGTTTTTCTTACCTCACAGTCAGGTGCATAAAAACAACTCTACTGTATAAATAATACATTATTTAGAAGGAGGGTGTGATGATAATATCACATCTTATTGCATTGTGTCATATAAACAATACAAAAAAAGCATTTTAATAAAGGGTAGACATTATACTCATTTTTGTTTGATTCTTCCACTTTAATCAACATTTTTAAACTGTAGTTTATAAATGTTGATTATGCTGGAACATAAACCTGTATTCTGCAGATATGCATCATGTTGTGTGCTGCATGCAGTGTCATAAGTACGTAACTCTTCACAAGCCTCTGTGTTCCTCCTCCAGTTTGTAGCTTTAGCTTTGTTTATATTTTCAGATGCTCCCAAGAGAGTTTCTGCTGTGAGAAGGAGAAAAGGTAATGGTAAAAAAAACAAATAAAAAGTTCCTATTTAAGATATACTCACTGACGTTACCTGCAAAACTCCCAAGAGACAAAGTTTAAGTCATTATTATGTTTCACAGTAACCTCCCATAAGCTCTACAGGGGAATAATTCAGGGAACAATATTATCTCACCCTGTAAAATTATAATAATTTGCATCACTTGGATATGAAGTTGCAACTTTAATTAAGCTTTTTGATTCAGAGATAATTTATCAATTTTCTTTTTTTATCCCTTATGTTCATTTTCAGATCGGGAAACTGTGAGGACTGTAAAGACTCTAAAGACAGCTGAAAAGCCCAAAAAGACAGGTAGCACTGATTCTTATGTTTATATGAATTTAATCTTTAAAATGATGCGCTTATTATTGTTTGCCTTTATTGTGATATTGTAATAAACACAGTCATGTCGTAATCAGCTCTTCCTAGAATCAGCCTGCCTCCGAAAATCACAAAGATCCGAAGATTTCCTCCTTTTCTGAAAGGTACTAAGATTTAATACACACATAAACTGGTCTCAATGTTAATCAGGAGAGAATTACTTTTTCACATATACGTTATGAATTTAAATATTTGTACCTTGTTCAATTCTAAAAAGCCAAGAAAGTAGATAAACCCAAGGCTTCCAAAACAAGTAAGCAATTACTTCCCCACAAATATGTCACATTCATGATCACTGTATTACAAAAGCAGAGCAAATTATGTTAGTGTATTTATAAAACTGCTGTTTTTTTTAATGTGACCTTGTTTATTCACAGAGACAAAGACCAAAAAGCAAGAACAGGTCACAGACTCTGGACAAGAAGGTATAAAACATTCATATTTTTCTCCTGATTTAAAAGAACATTTATACCAAAATATAAAAATAAGAATATGACTTTGTTTGTGTATTATTCCAGTAAACTGTTGCTTTGGATTATATGAATAATGCAAATGTGCACTGATGTTTTGCAGTTGGGCCTTGTAGACCTGCACCAGTTTATTGCCCGTCCCCACCTGGATGGTATGGTAAGCACAAGGATCTCCACAGTGCACTGAAATGTTGTCATATAGGCTGAATTAAAGACTTTACTGTGCACCAGCTTAAAGTTGGCTTTTTATCTTGCAGTTCATCACATAGTCACAGACAATCCTTACCCTCCTCCTACCATGTCAGGTATTCACTTTTTGGTACTGTTTGCAGTCACAGTTAAATCTCCGTTGCTCAATGACTTCTGCTGTAAGGTTAAAGGCGTATTTGTTTTTGTTTTCAGCTCCCTCTGCTCCTGTACTGACCGCCCACCCTGTCCATCCCGGAGCCCCACAGGGCATTTATCAGCAACAGCCTCCGCCAGCACCAATGCATCCACTGTACGCACAGTATCAACCATATCAGCCACCACTTCAGCCTGTGATGCCGCCTCCACCAGATCCAGTTCAGCCACTCCAGCCTGTACAGCCAGAAGCTGCAGAAGAAGAAGAAAAAGCTCCTGCCCAACCTGAGGTCCCGTCTCCAGCTGTTGAAGCTGAGCCTGCTGATGCTCCGGTTCAAGGTGAGAAGGATATGTCTATTTATTTTCTTTCTTCTTTTGAAATGGTTGTTTCTTGTTCTTGTTTTCTTGTTCTTTCTTGTTTTCAAGGTATTCATTTAAAAATATTTAAATATACAGATTTTTTTCTACTCACCTTCCACAGGTTTTGGGAGGAAAATCACAAAAATCTGATCAAATAAATCAATGAGACTTAAAAATATAGTGCAACTAATTAAACAGAGTTGTTGATAAGTAAATATTTGAATAAGGTGTGATAAATAAATGAATACATAAAAGCATAAATACATTTCACTTGAAAAAAAAACCCCACACTATCCTGAAAATCTTAAAATTTTCTGTGAAACTTTAATATAATTCAAATTATGCTACAAAGTAAATAAACCTACAACTGTTTCCCCTTTAAGAACCAGAGGCTGCTGAGGAGGACGTGATTGCTGTCTCCACAAAGAAAGGTACAAACTAAGAAGTTAAACTCTTGTGGAAAGTTGTGTTTATCACAATTACATCAGTGATAGTAATTAATGTCTTGTCATTTTCAGCAAAAAAAACAACAACAAAGGCTGCTGATTCAGACAAAGGTACTGTAGCGCTCTCCACATCCATTAAATACTTAATTTGCCAGCTAACTAGAATATCCACTATAACAAACGACAGCTGCAGCACATAACAGTGATGTACAATAGCACTGTGTGCTATATGAATGCATTAATTAAAGAAAATTAACTTGGCATGGGCATTTCACTGCAATTATCCCCTCAGAGCCAGGAGCAGCCAAAGGGAAAACAAAGAAAGGTAATTCATGTATACAGCTGGATAATTTGGTGTTTCCTCTGGTACACACTTCACATTGTTAGAAGTGATACACACAGTAATTATAGCTGTGCTTTGTTATAAATATTCATATATATTTAAACCTTTTTCCAAGATACAGATACCATAAATTCATGTATTTTTTCAATACTAGATGCTGCCGTTTTGAAAGACAAAACCAAAGCAGACACTGCAAAGAAAGGTGATCTGGTATCTATGGATCTATACTTTCTAATGCATTTTGATTGCCTTTAAAAGTGTAATGTTCTTCTTATGTGTTTGTTACTTCAGTGGCAGCTGCTAAAAAAGAGAAAATCAGAATTCATGCAGGGGCAAAAACAGGTAAAATATCCTTTATTGTTGTTATTGGGACATATAAATGATGAAAATTAAACATTATATATTTAATTCTGTTGTATTTTGTTCCAATTTGTTTGCATAGATCCATCTGCAAAACATAAAACTAAAAGTGCTGCAGCTCCTAAGAAAGGTAAACATGATTAGACGTTAGGATCTCGTCAAATTTGTAATATTTAAAAAAAATCAAATGCAGTCCAACACATTTCTCTTTCATGTGAAGTAGAAGTTAATAGTTGACTGAGAAAACAAATTATTCAGGTTGCTAATCACGAGTTTTTCCTCATTACGTTAGAGCCTGCGGCTGAAAGACAGAAGAGGAAATCAGCCTCTGAAAAGACAGGTGACGGCACTCACTGACATTCATTAATTTGCATAAAGCCAATCATAATTCATGAAAGATGATTGGGAACTAATTGTTTCTGCTCCCCTCAAAAGCGGCACCTATCATGAGCAAAGTGAAGGCATCGACAGCAAAGACAGGTAAAACTCAGACCGTGCATGAGTTCACGAAAATTTGATTTTCTTCTCGGTTGAAGATCTTTTTTTTAATCATCAACTTTAGCCCAGTTACCCCTGCATTATAATTTCTGTTTATTAAGATGATTTGGTTCGGTTCAAATTCATATCAAACAGATCCAGAACCACGTCCACAGCCACTCAGACTGAGACCGAGACTTGACATTGGCAGGAGGGCAAATGTAACCTCTGAAGCCCACGAGGAGAAACCTGCCAGATCTGAACCAGGTCTGTGTTTCTTTCATGAGGGCCCCAAAATATCTAGCTTTCCTAAAACTTGTAGTTCTTTACTTTTTGTTTTGTTTTTGTAGCCAAGCCAAGATCAAAATTATTGGCAGCAAAGAAAAGTAAGTTTATATTTTAATGTGGCAATAATTTTCCCTAAAGCTTAGCTTATTTACAGCATGCTAGCAGCACTTTGAGACTGCACAATAGTCCTTTTAACCCATTAGTATGCTAACATGCCAGTAGTGACCAAGTGTCCCACTTGTGGGACCGCGCAACATTTCTATCCCTTCTCCCTCTCTCCCAAATTTAAATTAATTTTCAATACTCAACATTACAGGTCAGATTTACTACACCGCCAACTCTGATCTCCAGATGTAAACTTCACAACTGTCTAAAATATGATTGTTATTTCTTGGAGTACGATATTAGCACTGCACTGTGCCAGTGTCCTAATGCTAGTGCATAATCTGCCAGAATGACAGAACACATTGTGTATATTCAGCTAAGACTAGATTATTTATCATTATTAGAGTTACAGTCATTAAGCCACAGAATAAATAACTGGGCAAACTTGTTTTTCTGATTAAAAAAACCCAAACAAAACAAAACATTTTTTAGTTTATGTTTATGAATAAATAAATACTGTAATTGTCTTGAGATGATTGTTGCTTGTATTTGGACAGCTCTCAGAAACAAATATGTCTACCTTGTGCTTTCCCTGAAGGATTTCCAAAATTAGTGGGAAAGTTAGGGCTTTGACCTTTTGGTTTCACAAAACTGTTGGTTTCACAAAAACAGGGGATTTGAAAAGCCAGCAGCATTCATCTTTTAGTCTCTGGAGACCACTGAGATACATACAAATGTATGTATCAGGCTTGAAACAGCCCTCAGCTGTTTCAAGCCATCTTTGTTACCTTGTTAAAAACAGGAAAATCTAACAAGCTGTCTTTCTTGCCTTTACTTTCAGCTCTGTAAAAGTTGTATTCTTTAAATTTGAACCACAAAGTCTTATAACCAGTCTGAATGTACACCCTTTTGATAAATTGGAAGGCAAATTAACTATGGTGGAATTCATGCCGAGAGTAAAACACCTCTGAAAAATGTCTTTTAATTAGAGGATGGAAATGAAGAATTTCTAAACTGCAGTCATGCCTCATTCTGAAAGAGTCTAATGTTCACATTCACTGTTAGTATTCATGTCCATCCATGTTTCTCAGAAGCTAAACTGATCAAGTGAAACACAGGAAGAGAAGGTGCAAGCGTATATGTTTGTACCCTTGTAAAAACCATCTACAGCAAATTAGATGTGTTTGAAACATACTCATGTTCTCTGCTGGCATTTTTCAGGGAAAATCGCCCCTTTCTGAGATGCAGATTATGTGAATAAAATGGGCTGTTTTATGCATGATGAAGTTCTAAGTAGAGACATGCCAAGCTGTATTACTCCGAGAAGGGAATAATATTGCAAGAATATTGAATTTACACCACAATTACAGAGAGTTATTTGGCAGGCTGTAATAGGGCTGTCTCTCCTCTCACAGGCCAAGCAGAGGAGGCTGAAAAGAAATCTGTCAAAGAGACTCAAGGTATGGCTTTAGAGTAGAATTAGAAGTGAATCTAATGAGTGCTATGTATATTTCAGAAGGCTCAGCTGCTCCTTTCTCCCCTTGCAAATTTTAGAAAAAGAGAAACAAGCATCAAAAACTGGTAAGTACTCGAGCATGAAAGTTTTCTATATGCACAGTAAATAATCTCCAGTCACCATAGAGAGTATTGACACTTATTAGAATTATTTGTGTTTCCAGAAGTTTAATTTCAGTGGAGTGTGCTTCATTCAAGAGGCTTTATCAGTGCTGCTGATTAGAGACTTAAACATTCCTGGTTCTCTTTTGGTTCCTGATATGACCTCTGAGCTAGTAAGGTATCTGTCATCAGTAACAGTTCTTGGTAGTCAGTATTGGGATACATTTAAAGTTAACTTGTTAGAATCCAGTTTTATTTCAAGTAAAAAAAAGTCATCTGTTATGTTACAACATTAGTGGGAATTAAGACTTTTGAGTTCTTTAGAGTTCGTTTTTGGTTTTAGTTTATCATATTGTTCCGAGGGGCCGAGCCTACCTACTGAGTTGATATGGACAACTCAATAGTCCATATCAACAATGTATTAAGCAACACGCTTGTTAATTTCCCTCACACTGACAGTTTTTGGTAAAATCTAGACATTGTGGTTTTGGAGCTGTAGCATCGACACCATTGTCCTCCTCATCAGCCGTACTTACCTTGCTGTGCTTGTTCTGAATGTGAAGCTGCGCTCTTTCAAAGCTGGCAGATAGTTATCATCATCTAGGCACAAAATAATATGAATACTTCTGCAATGTAAACACCCTCCTCTCTGTCATCTTGCTTGTCAATCTGACTGAATGCATCAGAGATTTTGCTTTGTCTCTTCTCGCAAGGAAGAGGCAGACATGGCTACATGTCAGGGGTTGGTGACAATAAAATAATGCAGACAAACATAAAAGACTAGAAAAATGCTTTCTACTATCAACGCATTTTGTTCTTCAGTATACTTTTGAAATTCTGGGTAAAAGGAGCAGGAGTGTATTTCAATCTCAATTCCTTGTTTTACTATATGCATATTTTTTCCCTCATACAATGATACCTAAAACATGTTGCCATATCTGGCAGAATGAGTTTAGATTGCCAATTTTATTGTTGGCAGCAAAGATTGTTGGGAGCTATGCAGCCATGATAATGTTCAGGAGGGTGATAGAAATTAGAATAAGCTGTCCTTTCACAAAAAGAGTCTGTACATCAGCACATGCACTCACACAATCCTGATCAACAGCTAAATCGACAAATGTATAAATTAACTCTCAGAATTGTTTTCCTCATAATGCCTTTAAATTTAAGTTCCCAGCATCAGTGTAAGCTACAGTATACAAGTTAGCTGAACTGATAAAGCTTCTTGAATTACTGGATAAACATTTTGAAGTATTACAAAGAAACACAGTGGTGCTATGAATCGTTTTGTTTTCTGTCATTCATGTTGTGTATCATATGCTTGTTGTCAATAGAAAATGAGAAAACAGCTTCCTGTAAGGCCTGAGGTATTCTGTAAATTTTCACCATCTTTCCAATGGATAATTCAGTATGAAAGGACGATGGCTTTAATGACATTAGGATCACAAGTGATTAGAATTTAATGAGATGAGCTGATTGGTACAAGATTACAAGCCTTTTGAGCCGCCTTGAATTATTGAAAGAGATTATGGCCTTTGATGAATATGGCAACAATTTTATACTTAGCTGGATTGATTAAATCCATGAACCAAAACCCATTAAATTGGGTTATTAGTGTTCTGTTCCTATTGAATCATCCAGTGGATTACAAACACTCCCCCACTGCCCTGTTTAACTTCACACTTTGCTACCATCTGACACAGCAGTGCCTGTTTCTTCAGGTGTGATGAAAAGTAGTTTGGTTTCTTTGGTTCAGACTGAAGTTCAGTGGTTTACTTTGATTTTGGTTTCTTTACTTCACTTAAAAGAAGCAAACCAGAATCGTTTTATATAGACAATACTAGCTAGTATTTGTGTTGTATGGTTTGTTTTATGCATGACTGAATTCCAAAAGAAATCAACCTCTTTTGGAGGATTTCATTTCATTTGATTTAAGTTACTTATATTTTATTTAGCAGGGAAATGCACGCACACATTGTTACGTTTAAGTTAAATATAACTATACAACTTAACAAAGTCATGATACTCTAATGCAAACATCAACTAACAGTAAAGCAAGAAGAAAAACAACCTTATAAATAGCAATTAGAGCAACAACATGAGTAAACAAATTAATGTGAGTTAAATATCCTTCCTGGTGTTCATAGACTTGCCTTTGCCAAATGTTTTTATTTCTGTGCACTGTGTCTCTGAGTGGTGACATTTCACCAACAAGGATTTCTAAGAGATTTCAGTCTGCAAGTTCTGTGGTTCACTATGAACTAGATACAATGTTGATAGACGTGTGTACTGTGTAGCTTGCTGCAATTCATTCTTATTATAGGGTGTTAAATGCTGTTAATGGTCCCCTTTTAGAGAGCTGCAACTCTGATGTGCGTCAGCCAATAAACTTTGGTTTCCATCACATTTGTTTTTTAGTTGATGATTTACTTACTCTTCAGTCACTTTTTTATTTTGCTTTGTTTGAGTCACTAAACTCCTTTTGGTTAGGTTTATGAAAAGCCTCATCACAAAATTAAACCTGCACATGCTGCATATCTAGTTACATGTAACATCAAAGGGTGCTTTACAATTGCCCATCGATGGCTATTCAGGTGACAGACTAGTCTCTCCATAGATTATGGAGAGGTCAGTGGTTTGTTGTGGACAGCAGTGTTTGGTATCCTGAGAATGAGAAGGTGCTTTCCCTTTACAACACTCAGCAGCAAGAAGGCTACTCTTTGTTGAGCACCACTCTTGAGGCGTGTTATTTCAACACCTGCTGAGTGGCTTTTATTAGGTTTGAACAATTATGCAGGGTGATGTGGTTGTTGCAGAAAAATTACATTTAAATGTATTTTTATTTGCAAATGACAAGTGGCAACAAGTGGTCGCTTTTCCAAATAAAGTTTAATTTTAGTTTGACTTTAACAAGAGACTGAAGCAGCAAAAACAAGCAAAAGAACATCACTGTGTTTAAAGAGTGAAACCCAGCCTGTCTTTTATCCTTTCTCTTTTTTCATGCATGTAGAAACTTAACCTCTGTTTTCTTTCTCTCTCAGTGTGAAGCACAATCTCATATTCTCATTAAGTTTTATTTTTATTGCATGCAGAAGATCCCAAGAAAGAAGAAAATATTACAGACAAGAAGAAACCTGGTAAGACTTGGTGAAATTTATTCAGGTTCTTATTTCATTGACTGTGGCCGATATTAATATTTGTATATGGAGAAGGATATAGGTGGGTGTGGGTGTTTCTAATCAAGGCGGCTAAGGCTGTGTTCAAACCCACTGTGAAGTGAACTTGTGCATCACATCAGTGGGTTTTTTGGACCATTTTGTAACCCAGAAATGTTAACGCCTTAGCGCTAACGCCAGAACTGCTTCCTCTTAAACAAAAACAGATTTTGGGAGTTTACCAGTTAGTCTTTTTTTGGTTCTGTCCCTATATAAGAGTGAACTTAAATCATATAGTGCCCACGAACAGTGATGCCAGCTTGGCCTCTATTTCTGGTCTGGAAACTTTGCTTTATGTGTGGTTTGAACACACCATGTAATCGTATAATTGCACAGTACAAATCTATCCACAGATCTTATTGTAAGCAACCTCTTTCCATCTCATCTTGTCTTCACAGGGCAGAGATTCTTTCAGTGCGTTTATGTCCCTGGCAAAAATGCCCAGTACCCTTTACGACCTTTCACTCCAGCCATGTCCCCCACCATGATGTCTCCTGCACTCAGAGCCATGTTGGAGCAGCAGAGAGCAGCCAAGGCGTCTGGGCAGTAGGACCACCTGAAGCCTTTCTTTATATCTGACAGCACTGCATCTTTCCATCCAGCAGGGGGAGGTGTTTGAATCTGTGCTAGCTTTACATTAAGAGGATGATCACAGAGAGAGAAAAAAAGTGGACTGACTTACTTTGTCTTTAATTTATTGAAATATTCTTTTAGTGGTTGAGCTCCTGGGGTTGCTGTTAATATTGCCCATTTTACCCTCTGCGTATGCTGCTCTACTATGTCTATGTTCAGTTAGAAAAATGCCATCTTGTGAATATTCTTTTAATTATAAATAGTATTTATAATGTACTTAATGCATGTTTTTAATTTAGAATGGGATAAATGGGTCACAACTTAGGATGTAATATAAAAAGCTGACTTTTGTGTTGCTTTCTCTATGATGCCCGTTATCAGATTTAACAGTAATTTAAATTTAAGGCAGTTTAGTTTATATCCAAGCAAACACTTATACTCTATTAAGACAAGCTTTTATTGTCTTAAACAGCTTTGAATGGTTTATTTTCAAAGTCTAAGATTATTTGCAACAGGAAAATATATTACATTGAATTATATACATAATATATGTTAATGGTATCAAACCCATGCAAATACATTTCACAAAATATGATTTATTTGAATAGTATTTTTTCCAGTTTTCTATATAAATAACTGCATTTTCAGTTCCTGTAACCATGCCCCGTGTTTGTTTCTGCTGCTTTGCTGCATCTGCAATAGAACAGAATCCAAATGTTGGAGGGTCAAATCCCAGGAGCTCCCACACTGATCTGAGCAGCATCCCTGTCACTGAACATCCATCAGCCTCATCAATCTTAGGCGCATGCTGTGATTGATGCACACATATTTCTTGACATATTAAGAACACATCTAGCATGAAACTGTTGGCCATTTACCTTTCACTGCTAATGTTTTATTTTGTTTGTTTGTTTTTGTAGAGGTTCATTTCAATATGTTACATGCCACATTTTAATTTTAACTGACTCCAATCAAAGTGGTGTATTGGAGATACTAGGGTAACCAGAAATGGCAGAGTAGATGAATAAAATATAGAACAATCTGAAAAAATAAATATTTTCTAACATTCAAGAGGCACTGAAAAGATTTGTATATCTCTATGAATACAAACTCAATAATGCAATGCAGTCTCATTGCACATATCGAAGCTCCAAAATTAAATTTGGATCCAATTAAGAAACATATTTAAATGAAACATATAGCTAAGTAAGAAAAAGGGGATATAATTAAAAAAAACAAAACATTTTCTTGTGTATATACAATAATTATTAAATAGTCTAGGTTCTCTGTGTAACTTGAAGCAGCTTATATGTGGGACTATGGGCTTTTCGGTGGTGGTTTATCGGCCATAAAGGATATGAGTATGCAGCAAAATGTTTTTGTTGCGCCTCATTAGGTTTAATAAATTCAGAAAACCTCTTTTTGATTTGTTTTTCTTTTAAAGCCAAAGATTGCAATACTGTGCTTTTATCTTAAAAATGAAGTGCAATTCCTGGATAGTAAATGTCTTGTAATTATGTGTTTTATCACAGATGACCTCTAATTACTTACAAGTATCAGCTCCTTTAACTCATCGTGTTCAGAGGCAGGGACAACTTTGATGTGACCAACTCATGAGACACTGTGATGTCTGCTACACTGAATGAATGTCATTTGTGTTAACCATCAGCTTATTTATTAAGTCTGATCTTGTCATATTTCTTTTTACCTCAGTCATTCATAGCTCTGGTTTTGTGCCTTATAGCAACATGGCTGCCTTGTTGACGCTGCCAAACTGTTGCCGAGCATCACCAGTGATTGCTGTTGCCGTCTTACTGAATGAAAACTTGATGCAAAGAACCAAAAAAGGTGTTTTTACGCTGGGCTTAATCCTGGGATATGACCCACCCTTGCCCATATTGTGCTGTCACATTCACCTTTTAACAGAGTGAGTTCCTAAAGACAGACGAAACTACTAGTTTTTAATAGCTAGTCCATGTTTTAAAAATGCTTTTGACATATTGTTGCATTTTTACCATATTATGACCCTGTGGATTGAGCTACATCAATTATTAAAAAGTGTTTTTTTTTTGAGGTATGGCAGTGAAGGGGGGCTCAACCAGAGTTTCTTGAACTTATGAGGGCCAGGGACCTCTTAGAGGGGTGAAAGTTTTCCAACGTTCCCCTCATAATCCACATTTAAAGCAGTTAAGATGCTTTGATCTTCGTGTTACTTGTTGTCATGGACTGATTCAGATATTTCCCTGTGCTAGCTTGCTAGCTAGTCATCTAGCTAATATGCAGCAGAACATTTCTGCTGTCCTTGAGTGTAGTTACAGAGTTTCTACCAAAATGACTCAATGCACCATATTGATATCAGACTCTCTATTAACCCAAAGAAAACCTTGGGGATAGAAAAGGACTCAATATATATTCATACTTTTTTAAACTGTGAAATTGTTACCTTTCATTAAAATGCACTTTTAATGATGCAGCACAGATTATACAATTTAATGCAAATTATTTACAGACCTCTTGGCTATGAGATATCAACTGCAGCGCCGACTCACCATTGTACCTACTATTCCCAACTGTATTGTAACTTTTTCTTTTTTTTAAAAGCCTTAAACTGTATTTGGTGACATTGAATTTAGAGGTGAGTTTAGAGAAAGTTACTTGAAAACTTCTGCTTAAATTTTGCAGACTAAAAAGAGTCATACTTCAGTTTTATAACATAATTAGAATATTTTTTTGTTCTTTTTTAAGAGTTAGTTCTAAACAAAGTGATGTTTACTGATATGGACTGAAAACTTTCATCACTTGTTTTGCCAATAATTTGTTGCCAAAGATTGCACAGTGGCCATTTTGACTAAAACTAGTGTGTTGCAACATTAAAGAAGGACCTGCCCCTTTTAGGTGAAAGTCCATAATTTTGGTTTCTGGACTTCTTTTTTGTTTTTATTTAGTTTATTTCATTTCATTTTTCTTTATTCCTGAGTTTAACAGAACATTGAATGTAAAGTTTTTTGTAAACTCTAATTTTATAAACAAGTCTGAAGTGAAGTGTATCCCTGAGGTTTCAGTATTACCCTCCAGGGGTGAGGTCAGCAGTCCTGAAGTGGTAAGGAAGCCTAATGAGATCTGACATCATGTACTGCTGCAACTGACTGTAGGTGTTGTAAGTGTTAGTTGGAGTAAGTTATTACCTTAAAATGTGGTTTTTACTGGTGTTTTGATTAATCATATTCCAGAAGGGCATTTCAGCAGTAGTCTGCTTGTGCCTCAGTGTTCTGAAGGTCGTCAAAACATATAAAATGAACAGTAATTACAGCATAAACTGTGGCTATGTGCTGTAATTATGTTTTAAAGTGTTATTAACTGTAATTTAACGTGAGCTAAATCGTGATCTCATACAAGAAAACAAACCAGAAGGAACACACAAAAACATCAGAGCTCTATCTAATGTAACTCCAGGTTCTTCATACATATTCATGTGAGCCTACAGGTGTAAGGCTGAGTTCAACTTGACTACTCTACATCCCTGATTATGTTTTAAGTACATGCGTTTGGATGGTGTTGTTAAAAGCAAGTGATCTGCTTGATCTTATGCATGTTTTTTTTCTGAAAAGCTGTAGTGCAACACTTACACTTTTGCTTCACTGTATTTCACTATGATGTGTTGCTGTCATATTTGTCTTTCATTCTTTTATTGGTTTGTAGTTATCAGAAACCACAGACAATCTAATTGATCTGCGATCTCCAAGCAGAATAAAAAATAGTTGGCTTTCTTGTAGATGCTTCATCTGGGATTGGAGTGCAGTTTAACACTCTTTAAAAAAGTTTAATTCCACAACATACAGTTTGAGGTTGTTTTGTTTTGGAAGGATATATTTTGTTAACAAATTGTAATATTTTCTGCATGATAATGTCATTTATTTAAATTCAAGGCTGCTTTTTTGTAACACACAAGTAAGACTGCAGTGTCACAAAAAGCAGTCACTCTGGTGCTGTACAAATACTGTAGATAATAGTTAATTTCTTATTATCATGAGACTTGTCACTCCATTAGTTCTCAAAGATAATAATAAATTAGTTAACACGTTTGGTCAAAAAACAGTTTTAAATGAAAGATGTTTTTTTGTGCTTTATCAAAGATGTATGAAAATGATGTTTCATTAAGAGAAAGTATGAACTACCTGCTGCATGTACTATAAAGCAGATGTGTTTAATTCACTCGGTCACTTTCCAGAAGCCAGTTAAGTGTCATAACTGACATTTCAAGCTATAATATCATTGGAGGGACAACACTGAGTCTGCTGTGCTTATGTAGGAAACTTTTACCACTATGCAGTTTTTGTGTCAAAACGTGAATAAACTTTTGAAGATATCCATGAGGGGGCATTTCTCTCTCTGTCTTTGCTATATATGGAATAATTCGTATAGAAAGAAACACTGTTATACTGATGGGCTGTGATGTATTTAGTTGTTGTAGGGTGTATCCCACCCTACAAGAACTCATACTCTCCATCCTATCAATAAATAAATAATAAGCACTAAACCACCTCTGCTTACATATTAATTAATCCAGCTAAGAAGCACAGTGTTAATGTGTTCTGTGAGTTCTAAGTACATGCTGAATCTTTTATTTTCTGACTTTAAAGTTAGTTTAAAGTCTGGAAAAGAAAGGGTTATTTATACACACTGACTGGGAATTAGAAATGAAAGTGGAACAAGGCTCAGTGAAAAGTGATCTAAAAAATTAGTAGACAGGAAAATCTAAAACAAGACACTACAAAAAAAGAAAAGGAAAGAAATCTAACAAAGTAAAATGTGACAAAACTAAAAACAACAACAAACAAACAACCAAAAAAACTGGACACACAAAAATGGTCACACCAAATGTGAAGAGAGAGACACACTGGTGGATAAAAGCATACAAGCAGAAATACGAGACTGTAAACGTTAACACTGAGGAGCTGAACACACAAGAAATAAACTGATAAATAGAAGCAGAGGAAAACCCAATTCAAACCCAGGACTGGATGAGTCAAAAACTCCATAATTATTAAACCGTAACCAGAATTAAAATACAAGAAATAGTAATTAAAATACTGGAATGATACCAAAATGGCAGCGCGGTGGCATAGTGGTTAGCACTGTTGCTGCACAGCAAGAAGGTCCTGAGTTCAATTTCATTATCAGGCCGGGGTCTTTCTGTGTGGAGTTTGCATGTTCTCCCCGTGTTTGCATGGGTTCTCTCCGGGTACTCCGGCTTCCTCCCACCGTCCAAAGACATGCAACTTGTGGGGATAGGTTAATTGGATAATACAAATTGTCACTAGGTGTGAATGTGCGAATGAATGTGAGTGCGAATGGTTGTCTGTCTCTGTGTGTTGGCCCTGCGACAGACTGGCGACCTGTCCAGGGTGTACCCCGCCTCTCGCCCTATGACAGCTGGGATAGGCTCCAGCGCCCCCCGCGACCCTGAAAAGGATAAGCAGAAGCGAATTGATGGATGATACCAAAATCAAAACAGGAATTTAAAAAAAAAATACAATGTAAGAATTAAAAAAACAACAGTTGAGTCAAACTGTTTGTGTTTCCAACAGTGGAATCAAACTACTAAGTGTCCTATGAACTAAGCAGGAAGGCACAAAGTCAAACATGACTTCCAATACCACTAATGGACCTTTGATTGGCCTTTGAGGGGAAAAAACTGCATTTCCCATGAAAAATGACTTCACTCCCTATTTCTACAGGTAATGGCAGATAGTTCCTGCTGACAGCATGATGAACTTTATTCCAACGTGAGAAGTCCTATGAACAGATCAGATCAGATTGGCAAAGTGTATTTCTGGATCATGTTTTTGTTGTTGGATGTGCTTTTTACATAATTTTTGTAAAAGCCATTAGTGGAAGGACACTGCTACCTGAGACAAGTTGAATGCACGATATGCAAGTAATGCAAAAAATGATTGCTCTAGCTTATTCTGTTCTATCAGGATTTAAAGTTACACAAATGGAAACCTGCGGGCTTACAAGAGTTAAATTTAGGCTATATATAAAATAAATGTGACAATCAACATAAGAAAGAACATCTTTTCATTTACAAATAAATTATCTAACACACATTAGTGGGTAACATAATAAACTTAGAGAACAGAAAAAAGTATACACCCCATCACGCTAGAATTGATCCAATACCAATACCAGGATAGGTATTGATACTATCGATATCTGGATTGATCTACCTACTTCTTATTTTAGGATGTCAGTGTCGTTTGAGCTCTTGTTGGCAGAATTGGGACAACACCTGGGGAGGCAGTTAATTTCAGAGTCTATAAAATAGTATCATTTCCATATCATTGTAATTCAGTACTGGTGCACATTTTGAGCTAGTCACAATCTGACTGGTCAGATCTGTTTATTCACATGCGAAAAATCAGCTGTCGCAATACATGTCGCAAATTTGTCTTCAAAAACGTATATGGTCTGTGTGAACAGCTGCAATAATAATAGGTTACTTGTCCAGTGTGAAAAGTCCTTTAGCCTTTACATTTACTACAAAGATCATGAGAACGGATGTTTTGAAAAATACAGCATAAAATTTCATGGGCAAACTGAAATAGATACAGTAAGTCATGGCTGTAAATACACGATTTTCCAATTATCACTGCTTTCCTTGGTGTGGATAAACAAACCATTACAACTGGTTTTGGGGCCTTATGGCATTAAAAGGGGATCTCATAACAGCCAAAGAGCGGGCGGGGATGCAGTATGAATCTGCCACGGATATGTTTGAGGCCAGTAACAAACCAGCTGGCAATACATGGTACCAGAGCAGAAGAATGGGTAAGCTGTACTGTACTGTGCTCATATCGACTTGAAGGAGCACAGGAGTCAAACGAAAGTCTTTTGAAGTACTGTTTTACTTTAGTGAGGACACTTCTTTTGAAAGTGTGGCCTCTTTGTCCTCAGACTCACTCAGAGGAAATTGATCTTGATTACTGAATTTCTGTAGCTTCAACAAGCATGGCGACATCTGCTCAAATGCTGTGATATTCTTAGAGGTCAAACTTAAACAGACAGAAACAACAGAAAAGTAACCAGGGAAAAGAGCTGCGTGTGTCCATGTTTATTTTGATCATTTTACATTTCAGCAAATTGTCTTTGAGGACATTAATACATTTAACACCTGCTAACTGAACAGCGTTTTGCTCCTATAATATACTGGCTTTCCATAATAACTTCACAATTCATTTGTAGTTTGGTCTCCCTACAGCTCCTACTGTAACTATACAATCAAATAACATTGGTAGGAAAATCAAATAAATTGAAAGGTATGCATTCATTTTCAATTATCAGTCATTTAAAAAAATGACATTTAATGTTGAATTCTTCAATGCACAAATACTTAAATATAAGAAACAATACATTGGATTTCTAATGGAAGAAGTGGCTTTGGCAGAGAGAACTCAAACATTAGTCAAAGTCAGTGGGGAATAAACATTGCTGGTCCATAAATCATTACAAAGTCCACAGCACACTGACGAAGCTTGTGATGGAGAGTTTCATTTCAAAAGAACAGGAATATCATCTTGAAACTTGATTATTACATCTGTTAAAGATTTGTTTAACTTTTTCCACACTAGACGTTATGATGCTATATGCAGAGATAATGTGATTTTTATCTCTTCACTTTGGAACAAAACTCTTCATGTGGATATTTAATTAACCCAATCTATACAGTACACGTGCTGCGACTTCTGCCAGTTTTACACATCCGTTATCTTGGAAAACAAAGTTATGCTAATCAACGTGGCTTACGTTGCCTGTCAAACAGAGAGGCACACAAAGCAGAGAACATTTAATGTACATTACTGAAACTAGACACATTTTTCAAGCCATTTAGACTCAATTGTCTGAACCAAATGAAGGCCAACAGTACCCCAAAACCATTTCTATGAGTGATGGCAATGTCCTGTCTTCTACTACCTGCCAAACAGGCATGATTTGCATTTTCATTGTTTTACATACTTTGTCCTAAATTTGAAAAATGCCACTCAAAGTATGGAAGCTTTGTATTTTCATATCAAATATGCTTCTAATCACACAGGGAGCCATCGTGGAAGTCAACATTGGATGATTACTGTATTCATAGGAAAGTGATAGCTGCATGCAGTACGGTCACAACGTGTGGTCCTGCTTTCAAAAGGAACATTTTCAAATTTGTATTTTCATCTGTTAAAGAATGTTAAAGAGCACGCACATCAACATGTGCAATGTTGATCTATTGGCTTTCTGGCTGCTTTTCCCCAATGCAAATCTGGTTTTTATTTGAGGAAGATCAGAAAGTGCATTTCTATTCTATTGCTTTGTTAAAATAAAATTACACTGCAATATAAACAACCCTGTTAAATAAATGATAAAGTACATGAAGCAGGTGGAAAATTACCAAAGACAAAAACCTGTCAGATCTGCGTGCAGGGGTAGATAATCACAAATGTCCCATTTCAAGCTTATTGTCCCCTTTTGCTTTTGTTGTTGTGCATGAATGGAGAATTTCTCAACAGCCAACTAAACTAAATCTGCCCCTAATATCCGCATTGTGTCAGAATTATATATGCTAACTGTGGATGAAAACTATAGAAACTAAATCATTTACAGAAGTCAACACTAGTTTTGCAGGTGCCTGTTTTCTGTGTGGCTTTTTGGCTGAAAAAAGCTGTTAACTTTACACCGAGCAAAATCGTATTGCTGGGATTTATCAGCACATTAACCCTTAAGATGCATTTCCCTTTAATGGTCCCTGGATGGTGATTTCAGTCACTCTGACTGAAGTGAAAATTTTAGCTTTTTTATTTACTTTGGTGAAAGGACAAATATAAATGTGACACTTTGGAGCTACTATAAACAAAAGCAGCTTTTTGTTTGGTGTGAATTTTTTTCAAACTGATGCTGGCTATAGATTATCATTGTGTTTGTTCAGTAAAGAAAGCAATCATATTTTTTTTTAAAAAAAAAAGAAAAGTTCAGGTGTCAAAGAGCTGATAAAGTGCTGCAATCTGAGCTGTGATTCACCCTGCTTCAAACTGCAAAGTCACTTGAAAACTGCAGATACATCTGCAACTCCTGCAGAGCTCGTTCCATGCTCAGTGGTGCGCAAATACGGCATTAATTATGATTAGTTAAGCTACTCAAAATTAAATGAAGAACAAATGAACTCATGTTGCAGATTTGGGCTTCTCTGTAGTTAAAAAAAGACTGGAAATGAATTCACAGATGTCCCATTCATGTCTCTCTTTTTTGTGTGTCATGAAATGATATGTTGCATGGGAGAAAAGCAGCATTTGGCTCTTGCTTTGTTTTGTTTTTTACGATTGCTGACTTCAGATTTATTAAAATTACAGATAAAATTACAAACATTTGAGGACCTCCATGAATGCTTCCGGGATGATTATTTTTTTAAAAGCCCAAAGCCTGATATACTGTTACATCTCTTATAGCTGGTGTCTGAATGTGCCCAGCAATACTTTGATCCAAGAATCAGAAGGAATGACATAACAATAACACAGAAATAACATTCGAAATGCTGAATTTCTTAAATAAGAACAGATCTTAAACTCATATTTCTGTATACACTTCATACAACAATCTGTGTAATAAACAAGATAGATAGCAATTTTAATAAAATACTGACAAGAGAAAAGAAAAAGTCTTGCATGTGTGGTAAAGCACAAAGCATCACCCGATAAAGTATATCTGTAATAAAACACTGTGTCTCATTTCATTCTATTTAGATTTACAACTGAACAAAACAACCTCTGATACCAACATTAACCTTAAAAATAATCAGTGAACCTGCAGGACGCTCTGAGTGAGATACAGTTTAGCTATATTCAAGCAGTATACAGATGTTTAGTTCATGTAAACTTTTTATCCTAACAACTGGAAGCATCTACAGTGGCTGTGTGAGTGACCATGTGTGTGTGTGTGTGTGTGTGTCCGTTTATGGTAGTAATCTTTACATTTTCTCCTGAATCTCTTATTCAGACTGTATTGGCTCTGTTCTACTGCATGAGTTTTGTGAAAAATATATCCACAACATCTAGTGAACAAAACCAGCAACCAAAACACATGATGACAACAGCTTTCTATTGTAGTGTGAACAAAAGGTGATTAGACTTTGTTGTTTGGAGTGTGACTGATAATTTTAAACTTGCAAAGTGCTCTTGGAAAAATCCTCATGACTGCCAGAAGTTGGTCTACTCAAGTAACTACTGTGACCATTTATACTCTAAGTTCGAATGGTCTGAAAATACTGTTCAGGTTTGTTTTTTGACATCTGCACTGATACTGATAACAAATCTAGACTTTTACCTCATTAGTAGTGAACTAATTCCAGCACTGACAACAAACATCAGAAAAGGACACATTTGTGAAATGCTGCTGTGATGAAATGTGCTGAAACTGAAGAATGAACCCAGGCAGGGAAGTAAACCAGGTTAAAGCTGTAAATTTGTGAGAAAGACTAAAATAAACCAGTAGATGAATTAATAATGGCGCACCATCCATAGTTTTGTGATTTGTTTCTTGCAGGATAACCATTTTAGTCTCGGAGACTTGGCATTATTTAGTTGAATATTAACCCCATCGTCTGACTTACTGTTTAGTTTGTTTAGCTACACTGGCACTTACAAACCATTACATTCCTGTTAAAGATGAAAAACAGCAGGAGTTGATGTAATTACATTGCGAGTAATTAACTGTGTGAAAGTGGGTGTTTGAACAAATCAACATGCAACAGCAAAGTACAGTGAGGCCTTCCGCTGTCAGAATTATTATCATCTGCATACATGGTACATGAACCATGCCTTATGTATTAATCCTAATTATTAACCAACGTCTGAACGACTCATCAGATGTCACTGATGAATGAAGTTGCTGTCTTAAAATGTGAATTAAAAGGATGATTAAACAGCCAAGCAGGTATGTGGTAACCCTCCCCTGTGACTTGTGGTCTGTAACACAAAGCATGATATTTAAGTGGATCACATTTTCCTCCAATCTTTGATGCTTTGATGTTTTCAAAGATTGCTGCAAAACATTTAGGCTTAACCTGGGTTGACTGCAAATAAATCTCACATGAATGAAATGTACTTTTAAATTTGTATTTGCAATTATTCTGCAGGTGAATTTGGATAAAGTAATCACAGAAGCATGGCTGTCAGTCAGAAGTTGTGGTATGCAGCGCTTACCTAATCCTTTTCATCTCACATGTCTGATTCTGCGCTGCCTCTTTACTGCTTCAGCGCCATTTTGTGATTAAGGCTGATAGCATATCTGGAGTTTTCTGTAGGAAATACGACAGTGTGCAGGTTCAGATAATGATGCCAGTGCAATCTTCTATAATTTTCTTCCCTATTACCCTTTTTGTCACAGTCATAAGCGCCGAGAAGTCACAGAGACCTTTGGCACTAAAATCCTGTAAACAAAGAGTGCTGCCTTCACAAAAGGAGTTCAAATAACACATATTATGTTTCTTCCCTTAAAATGACTTTTAATGATGCAATCATTGCAGTGTATCAAAAGCAGTTTCCTTTTAATAGAGTTCAATGTTGAAGAGATGATTATGATCATTTTAAAAAATGTTTTTTAGCTGTTGTTAATAAAAATGTCTAGATTGAACTTGACTTGTATTGACTCTCAGAAACAAAAACCCAGCAAGCAGCAGTTGCAGAAAAACTTAGTTGTAGCTGACTAAACTGGGTTTTACAGAGAACTGATCTTCTCATTAATCCATCCCCTGAACAGTGATTGGTCAGTTATAGCTTAAAAAGACAAATTAGCAGGTATGTCAACCTTCAAATTTTGCAGTACATGAGAAATAAATGATGATGACCTTTGTCTTTTGCTGTATTTATTCCATAATCATATTTAAAATGGGAGAAATATATTGACAACAATGTTTGTTTCTCAGGAAAGAGAACACAGGGGCATTTGAACTAAGAACTGTGGCTGCAAAAGCACTACTGCTGTCAGCAACATCAGAATCAATCTGGGAATCTATCGATTTTGGGGACACTGGTCAATATCTGACTGTTCCCTGTGCTTCTTTTAAAACACAGTTAAATATGAATTTTTAAAAAGCAAGTAACAACCTGAATTAATCTCAAATAATTGCCTATGGTTTAGAGCTTGTAGTTAAAAGTATGTGTTTGTTCTCCACTGTCCAGCACAAGCCTTTAACATGCTTCAACATGATTGGTCAGTAGAACTACAAGCGGATTATTAAAGGAAATCAAAGATCTTGTTTTCTGTCTACAAATATCAGCATTATAATTAAACCAAATACTGATGCTAAAACAATTACATCGGCCGGTTTTCTAGAAGCCTTGTACTGTTTGTGGTTTTCTAAGTAGTTTTACTTGGTGACAAACTAAGACAATTACATCACACAACAAAATATACTCATTTAAGTTGTCTCCATCTACAAAAGAGGAAATACTGATGTTGGTTTTATGGGATGTCAGGAGAGATACTCCTTTCTACTTCCTTGGGCATCAAATATTGCCATTTTGAGAAAGCAGCTGAAGTCTCACAGTTATGCACACGGTGTTCGTTGCCACCTGTGCCATAATACAACAGCTACTGAGACAGGTCTGTCACACCACACCCAAGTGGTTATGTATGGGTGCTTCTAAAATGCGTCTTTTCATCAGATTTATATGGATTACCTACATGTCCAGGCTTACTGTTGCAAATGGCATATTTAAAAACAAATCAAGATATCGTCTTAGCCAACTGGACTAAAAAAGGAGTTTGAGATGCCTAAACCTAACCAGCCTATTAACGTAAAAAGTGAGTGCAAACGAAGCAAAATAAAACGTGGACACTCCACCACTGTCTGTCTGCTGCTCTGCAAAAACAGGACCACTGTCTGTTCATGTCTCATTCTGCCACAGCCGATGTGTCAAGCTACCAACGTCAGAGGGCAGCTTTTAGGTATTTGTGCGACAGCACAGACAAAAAGACAACGTTTGACGTACTAGGATGACTATGTATTGGCAGCAGTATGAGTGGATTATTATTTACAGATCCAAGGTCAGTTATATAATGAAATAATGAACGGATTTAGCATATGATGACTAATCGGGTTGGTTCCAAATAAGCTCCACAGCATTTTAGTTGCATGAAAAAAATATTGAACCAATTGTATATTTTATGGATTTTGTCATAATGAGTAATTGTACAAATGGCAAAATTCTTGCACAGATATATCATACACCTGTACACCTTGTGGAAATCTAGGTTTGGTCTGAACTCTATATTATGTGCCTCTTTCTGAAAATAAATAATTTACTCCTTGAACACAAAGTTCGAGCAGTAGATGCAGCAAAGGTTGAATTTATAATAAAAATTGAATCAGACCCTACAATGGACTTAATCATACAATAATATGTGTCATGACAGCCTATTCAAACTGTTTCTGTAGCTACTGTCTGCTCTTAGAGGATCAGGCTGATCACATATTCAGTAAAAACACAGTATCGCCATCACACTGCCAGATTATTATCTCTCTGTGTTTGATGTTAAACCTCAGTGGAAGCACACGGATCACACTGAGCCGAAGGAGAAACCATTAAGAACAAGTCTGACTCGACTTTGCACAGGATACAGCCTGTAGAGCCTCTGAGCTGCGGTAAGCGGGGCTGACATGTCGTGTGCGCTGGTGTGATAGTTTAACATTTCAGCTGTCTGCTCTCGTTGCAGCGGGCCACCTCACGCTCCCCTGCCTGCCGGCCTTTATTCTGTGATCTGCTCGGCTGTCTGTTTGCCAGCCTCACTCTGCTGCTCTGCCCATCAGAGGCGCGTATTTCCTTCCCGCTGTGCTCTTCACCTTCTTAACATTTGGTTGTCACACCTTTGCACTTCGTGTGCCCAAGGTGAATAGTTGATGTAGAAGAACCTAAACTAAAGTATGTCAAACTGCTTCAGGGCTACATGCATGGAGAAATTCCACATAACTTAACAAACTGTGTCAGTTTAAATACTATTTTCTAAAGGACAGTTTGGACTGCTAAAGTAATTAATCTTATAATTTAGTATAAAATGTTGCACTTGAAAGTTACACTTTTCTCTGAACTCGAGTAAACGCTGACTGTGCCATACATATAATAATGACATCATCAGCGTTTAAACTGATTCTTTTTAGGAGGATCACTTCAAAAATCATAATTTTGAGTGCACTATGTTATCGTTATTTCCTCGTATCTATAGTTAGCCTTCTCCATCTAAAAAACACAAAGGGTGGAATAAACAAAGTGAAAGAGGCAAAAGTAAAACAAGCGGAACATCACATGGGGGAATTTGGGTTTTTTTTGCTGGACAGAGCTTCAGGATGTTAAAGGGTTCAAATGCAGCAGACAGCTGGTATTACTTTGACTACAGTTGGTGAACCTATGAGCTGGACTGCTGAACTGAATCTTTGAAATAAGACATCTAATAATAGAGACATTATCATCAGACTACAGTTGATTGCTTGACTGACTTTTTACCTGGCTGCATACAAACTCAAATGTGATTATCCGTTGGAAACAAGGGATGGTTTCATGCATATTATTATACAGATATCTGTTTATAGGGATGGTTTTGACTTTAGTCATTAACAATTTGTTTGCCTTAATATCCTTTTAAAATGTCAAGTGCAGTCTCTGTTACCACTTCAGTGACAGATAGCCTGAAATAGGACTTAATACAAGCCTTTTAACTGCCCTGTACAGAAAATAACTGCAGCCATTCTAACAATACAATTAACTCTAATCCAGGATTTAATAAATTATTAATCACTGTGTGTCATTATCAGCTGAATCGTTAAATTATTGAAGTTAACCAATTACCTCATTGAAAATGTCTCGGTGCATTCAGGTGCTGTCAGGATGTTCTAACAGCACTCTCATGCTTCAGAGGGTATCCTTAAAGATGCTGCAAACCAAACACTTAACACAAAAAGGATAAAATTTGCACTTCCTGACAGTGGTAATGGAATAATTTTCTCATCAAACAGTGATGTGGGCATTTTAATTCTTCAGATTAATCTGGTAATTATAGGGTGTCAAACGACAAATAGCTGGTTTTTAAATGCCTTATAAAATACTAATAATAAGTTCAAATGGATTTAAAAACTGTGAATGGCAGCCTGGGATCATTTAAAAAAGGAAAAAGTCTGCTTTTGTTGTATACAGGAGGAAATAATCGGTCAACAACATACCAATGTGATGCTTTAATCTCTAAATATCTAATACGCATACCGTGTTAAAATGATGGGAATATGTTTTCAGAAGCTCGTTAATGTCATTACATCCAACAAATGTGTCACAACGTCACAGGAGAAGATAATACACTTGGCCTTTCCCTGCTTCTACAAAGTTTTGCCTCATTTATTTGTCCATCGAAATTCAGAAAATACATCTTTGGTCTCCCAAACAAATATGTAATTATGTGCGTCTATGTTAAAAATAAGAGACAGCAGCTTTGTGTTATCCCTAATGGCAGAAGACAGCACTGTGCTCTGTGACATATGGGTCAGAAACAAGCGAGAGAATGACTAAAAAGAAAAACAACAAAAAAAACCAAATGATACATAGAGCCAACTCTTACCGTAAAGGGGGGTTTGCTTTTCCAAGAGATAACTGGAGTGAGAACCAAGAGTTCGGCCATTGTTTTCAAAGGAAAGATGCCAAACCCCCAGTAAACACCCAATAAGCTCCCAGTAAACCCACTGCCTGTATGCCAGTTTGGGTCCAGGAGGTTAAACAAGCTGATCGCCATCACTGCTGCAGATCCTGAGCCGTGCTTCTTGCCCATATGGGGCATTTTTCCTCAAATTACTGTACAAAAAAAGGAAAAACTGTAGCTCAAGAGCTCTGGCCCCAAGCCCTCTTTGAAGTTTCATGATCAGTTTTCCACATTCTTTATCATCTGTATCCTGTACAAGTGCAGTAAACACTCTATACTTTCACAACTCACTCTCTTGAGTGTCTCTTCCCTGCTCCATACTGGATTGTTTAAAGACGTTAATTTACAGTTTCTGGAATTGGCACTTGACAAATAACTAAATAAATAAATATATAGAACACCATCAGTAGCTCTTAGGATGCCCTTAAGTCTGAGGAAACGTCCTTCTCATCTCTTGCTGCTTGCTTTTCCATGATTTGGAGAAAAAGGTGAATCCAACAGTAGCAGCAGCAGCATTTCCTGGAGGAAGGTGTTTTTCAGGGCGCGTGTTGCTTTTGCACAGTAAGTCAGTGTATTTGTGTGTGTAAATATTGATTTGAGTATGCTTTTGAGCTGTGACTGCACGGTTTAGTCCAGCGAAAGCAGCGGCTGCATGTTGTCTTCTTCGCTCTTGACTTTGTCTGGTCGCTTCAGGACTCCCGGTTCCACCACCGACTGAGACCTACAAGAACAAAGAACAGGAGGTGATTAGCATAACTGTGTCGCCAACTGTGCTGAAAGCTTTAGAGTGTCAACCGTGAAGTGCAGTGAAATATTAACTGTAACGGTTTATGTTGATGTTAAAATATTCCGACCTACTTGTGTAAAGTCTGATGCAACAGTCTATCCGTTATTTTGTCTCATGCTATGAGGCAAATTGTGAGTATGAATAAAATCTGCAAAAAAAACTTCAGGTCAATCATCACCTCAGGTTTGATTTCCAGGAATCCTCTAATTTCTATGTTTATTATTTTGTTCACACAAAGTTAAAAATACTTTATAAGACATTGGATACATGCAGAAAACACCTGTTTCTGTGTCTGTAACATAACCAGTGTGTTTTTGTAAACAACTCAAAATGCTAAAATGAAAAAATAAAATGTTACTTGCAAGTTTCATTATGTTTCATTATGTTCTATATGCAATCATTTATCAGTATTATTTTTTTACTAGTTAACCTGTGTTATAATTTTTGTTTTAATACTTCATAAAAAGAAAACAGCATCCGCACATTAAATAAAAATGCATTCGTGCATACAGATTTTATAGTATAACACGCATAACACTAACAGTGCTTTATAGGCTAAAAAAGTGTCATAAAAAGTTTTTATTTCCTGCTATATGGGAATTAACCAAAGAGTGAGTTCATTTTTAAATGCACCCTGTTACTGTCAGACCATTTATAACTCACTAATAATTAATTTATGATTGGCAGGGTTGAGCCTTCCTGCAGTGACAGCCTGCTGCCTTAACTCGCTGCTGTTTGTCTTCCATAGTATAAATGTCTTTGAGTGAGTTGACGTTCCACAGTGGTGAGATGATTTACTGTCACAGTGAATTACACCGCACAGTGGCCTATAGGGGGGAAACTCTACAGCAGGAAATGTCAAACATGCTCTCAGCAGAATTCTCTTTGTCAAGAATAAGCACATAAATTTTAGCATATGAATGAACATAAATATATATGTAACCCCCAAAGTCAGCTAGTCTGGATAATACTAGATTGTGTATTGATTGCTTATTTACTTGTCTTTTTTGTAAGGGTTCAACTTCATAAACTATTTATTGACCCCATCATATCATTATGCATCTTTATTGCTTCTTTTTTCAAACCACAGCTTGTATATAAAAGGTCGACTAAGCTATTTTGGAGACCTAAATTCAGCTTTTTGAGGCATATCATTTTGTTTTTGGGGCTTGTTGAGCACAAGACAACCGCACCATAAAACACACCGTGACTATCTAATGTCTGTTTTACTTTAAATAGAACCAGAACAAACAAAACTTTAAAACTAGTAATCGGGAATCTACACTCACCAGAAAAACGTCACATAAATCAAATGTAAACCACAGGATTCCACATCTGCTGGACATTAATGCAGGATTGAGCCACTGGACTATGTCCATCTTTTATAAATAAATCTGATCCACAAGAATCACAAAGAGGTCCAGCCAAATAACACTAGTTGCTTAAATAAAAATCTAATGAATATAAAATCAGATGGAACCATTTAGAGCATATTCATCCCCGCCAGCTGAGACAATGATTACAAGAAGACCACAGTGAGATAAAATCTGTATAGTTCTGTTATTATGCCTTTTGTTTACTATAATTACGCAAAGATAACCAAATTAGTTCCACAGTATATCCTATTGTGAAACAAGCATTTTATTCATTTTTTGTGCATTGTTTAAATTTTAAACCTGCATTATTCTCTGAGAAAATGTATTAGCTGGTAGTTCCTAAGCCTGAAGCAGCTGTGAAATACTTGGGTGGGACTCCTTAGCCTCAGGAAAAAACAGTAGCTCTCGTTGTCATTAAGAGGGTCCTAAAGCATTTAATAATATATTCTTAAACCTAATAATAATCAAAAACAGTACTACATTAAATAAAAACCACTGTGGAGGTTTTAAGATGGTACGCTAACCTCTTCATGGTCTTTGGGGAAAGGTTTTTCTCCAGGTCTCTCTCCAGGTCTTGTACTGATAGGGTGTAGGACTCTGGACAGTAGTCAGTCTCCTCGTCATATGCGTGGTCCAGCAGTGTTCGAGCCCATGTCCCCATATCGTAGGGTGGCATCATCCCACCAAGCTCCGATGGCAAGATCTCTGGGTGGATGAGCTGATGGAGGCTGTTTAGGTTGTTACCATGCATGAAAATCTGCAAAGGGAAAAGATGCACAGGGAAACAATTTAGACCAGAGGTCTCCAACTCCAGTCCTCCAGAGCTACTGTCCTGCAGCTTTGCATCCCTACTGTAACGCAGCTGAATCAAATGGTTGAATTACCTCTTCAGCATGACATCAAGTTTGGCAAAGGTCTAGTAACAAGCCATTCATTTGATTTATCTGTGTTGGAATGAGGATGTTGAAACTCTTGGAATTTTTCTCTCCACATTCAATTTCTTTTCTCTTCTTGAAACCATGAAAAAGATCACAAACACCAAAAAAGCTTAACTATTAGGCCAGTAACCAGACCCAAAATGTCATCGTTCCTATTAAATTTGAGTAGCACAACTTGTTATAACCTAATTCTATATTCTGTTTTAGCATGTATGTTTTTTTTTAAGTTTATAGGTTGCTGAATAGGTCATTACCATTTCAAATTTAGAAAGAAAAAGACAAAACAATCAGAACCAAATTACTTTATTAAAAGGAGACCATATGAATTCCAGCTTGCTAATAGTTTTCACCTATCATCCACATTAAAGTGGCTCTCTGTGTGGTTATTTTTACTGTTAGACTGTCTGTGGTCCCAATTTGGAGGGTGCTTTTTTACCTGATTTTGCACCAGCTGAAAGACAGATTATAGACAAATCTCTTGGCTTACCCTCTTCCTTGTCTTGTCTTTAAGAAAGGGTCGGATGACGGTGTAGAGAGCGTGAATGTACCAGGGCTGGTTCACAAAGTGGATCCCTCCAAATCTGGCAGGAAAACTGTCCTGTAGGAAACACAAGAAAAAACAACACAGATGAATATGACATCTGGAGGTCAGCAAAATATGGTGTGTGTGTGTGTGTGTGTGTGTGTGTGTGTGTGTGTGTGTGTGTGTGTGTGTGTGTGTGTGTGTGTGTTACAAAGTTGTATGTCAGTACTGAGCTATGCCCTTATATAATATTCCTGCCAGTTTCCAAGTTCTAATAACCTCTTAATGTTCACCTAAGATTATGTTACTTTTTTGTCTTTGTGATATTATTTGTTTTGACGAACAAGAACAGACAACTCTATATGTCAAGCAGAAAGACTGAAAATAGCAGAAAAATATCACCAGTGAAAGATGTTTAACCAGAAACGTAAAACTGTAAACTACATATTGCCATGGAAACTTCTGCTGCAAATTCATTAATCACCATTATATTGTGCAACATACCTGAGTGTGTTTCCTGTCTCTTTTCATTAGATTAGTTTTGTAAATGGCCTCTAACCTCATAGTCAATAGGAAATGGTCTGCAGTGGCTGCAGGACAAGCCCAGAGGGAAATGAGGCCTTGTTCATACAGGTTAGTGTGTGTACTCTGAGCCTAACTCAGTGATTCCTAGAATGTGGACACCATTATAATAATTATGCTCCAGTCCATGTGTATGAATCATCGTTTGGCCGTAATCCAGCAGTATGGTGAAGACTGTACAGCAATCTGACATAACAGAGCTGGCTGATAAAAATGGCTTGGGGAAAATGTTTATATAAAACATGTTGGCAATGTGTGGGAGAGACAGTGACAGTGTCTGAGGTCAGTGCAGCTTTGTAAATCAGGATTTGACTGATATGAATCATCATGGCCCAAAGTCACTTCAAGTGATTTTGCTCTGATAGCAGTAATGTCAGCTCATACACTGTACAAAGCTTTGATCTAGAGCCATATAAAATTTAAAGACATATAAGACTATATTTACAACAAACCTAACAGAACTGGAAGGTTAGTTCAGGATCAGAGAATGATTTATATTAATTGAGGCAACCTTCAGAATTTTCCTTTAGAGTAACAATCACGCCAAAATTAACCTCTAAACAGCAAAGTAATGGGCCAATTACTGTCATTTACTGTAAATCTTCATTCAAAGAGCAGCACCACCAACACACCCAATATTCCAAGACAAGAAATGTTTCAATGACTACATAAGATGTGCCATTTGCCAAAAATAAATTCCATATATTTATTACATTGTATATTTATATATGTCCAACCGCCCTGTGACAAACTAGCAGCCAGTCCATGGTATAGTCTGCATCTCAATCAGTGACAGCTGGGATAGCCCATAATTAGATACGAAGAAGAAGATGGATGGAAGGTAAGTTTCATAATAAGATGCAGTATTTGGCATTTTGACAAACATACTCCCCTAGTGATTTTTTCATAATATAAACATAAAATGGTTGAAAATCTTTTCAAACACATTTTTTCTACCATTCATCCTTTCTCTAGAACAACTTGACCTACTTCCAAGGTGGATGGAAGAGACAAAAATGTCCAAGAAAGTCAAAACCTAATGCAGCACTTCTGTCATGTTTGTTTGTTAGCATCACAGTGGCTCAGTAACTAGCACTATGGCCTCACAGCAAGAGGGTCACGAGCTCGCTTCTGTGTGGAGTTTGCATGTTCTCGCTGTGTTTGCATGACTTTCCTCTAGTAGCTCTGGTTTCCCCTGCCTTTGAAAAACAAGCATTTTCAATCTTGCTGATATCAGTACAGGATACTCTTCCAGAAAATATCCTCAATCTTAAGAGTTGCTAAATAAATAAATAAATACTTTATTTACATATCATGAAGTTAATCAAAGTTACTCTTCTTCCATCATTTCCTGCAATTTAAATTTTCTTTTAACTTCGTTGTTGTTGAAAAATGTGGACAACACTAAAAATGGTAGTCCTCTGTGTTTAATCCACTCATTCATACATTTTTAAAAAGCTGTCATGGTCTGTAGATTTTGCTGTTTCCAGTCTTCAGTACAGACTTTTGATTAGGTCTTTGTGTTGCTGGAGCGTACTGTAACGCTTGGTTTTATGACTGTTTTCAGTTTCAAGAGGTTTGGTTGAGTTTGATTTCTTACTTTACTATAATGAGCTTTTTAATATTTTAGAATTCCAATTATATTACCACTCCAGCCTATCTATATTTGATCCTGTGTGTACCGGTTTATTATCCTAGCCTCTTCAGTATCCTCCTGTATCTTGTTAAATCCTCATCTCCGTGTTTAGTGATCCCCAGTTGAGTTTCTTCCTGTTTTATTTTGATAGTTCCCCATCACTTGTGTTTTCCAGTCTGATTGTTCTTGTTACCCAGCTAACATCCTCCTGTGTTTTGCATTCACCTCTGGAAAATATGACAAAAGCTGTACATTTAAGATGATTTCATTTGTCTGTTTCTGTGTAGCCTACACATATTCAAACATGTAAACAAGGATTAACTTAACATTGCACAAGAAATGCTGGTTAATGTTTCAGATGTTGTGTATTTGTTGCAAAAATATTCAACCTCATGTTCAGATGATAAGAAATAACAAAGAAATGTATTTTGGTCCGATGGAGGTCGGACAGCTCGTCTCTCAGCTGTCCGACCCCTCAGTGCTTCTTTTTGATTCTAAATCTCTGCCCTGCCCTCTGCTCTGACAGACATTTTTTTCACTTTGATAAAGGGACCTACTGCATTATACATGAAATAGTAAAAATGGAATATGAGATGTAGGCCCTCTGCTGCGCTGGAGGGACAGAAGGAGGAGAAAAAGAAACAGGCGCTAAAGGATTGATCTACCTTCGCACAAGTGATGTCTAAAGGAAAAGAAAGAGGGAGGAGGTATTCAAATACAGGTTGGGGACACTACAGTGAGAATAAAAGGAGATCCAAAAGGGAAAGATGTAAGAAGATCTCGAGGACTGAGGATGGAGAACGAATTAAAGGCTTAAATTAATGGGAAAGTGGTTATTTTTGGGGTGTTCAGCTTTTGTTTTCCTTTGATGAAATATAGGTGAAAAGAATCACCAAGGAGATAACAGGAGGTAATATGAATGGATGAAGAATAGCTGAAAAAATTGATTTTCAACACTTTTAGACAGATTTTATATAATATTATTCATTGGACAAGTCTAACACAAGAGCTTGCAGATGATTTGAGTCAGTATTCGTCCAATCTAACTTCAATCCAGATGCTGAGGTTGATTTTTACATTTTTTTCCACTCAGCTGAGCAGACAAATCTCTTTACAAGCCATAAAGGGAAGGCTGGTGTATGTCATTATGCAGATTCTGACTATGACTTGTCTTTCCTGAAGCATCACCTGGTTGTGTCCCCTTTTATAAATCTCAAAATAGAACAAAATCTGTATTTACCAGGGAATAGAAATCCACTGGAAAGTTCACAACTATTAAAAATCTTGCATGTGACTTATGAAATGGTATGGTAAAAACATTTTTCAACGAATATTACAGATTCCCACAAGGCCAAACATCATAATATAATAAAAAATAATACAAAAACAATTCATGTCAAGTTGCTACATAGATTTGTTTGCCTACACGTGTTCATATGTGGGCATGTGGGTTTAGGTCGGTCATCATCTCAAAATAAGAGAAAACAGAAGCATGATTTTCTGTCTTAGTTAAATGTGACTGTGGGTTTGCAGGGAGACAACTGTTATTTTCTTTTTGACCCGGTGTATGTGTTTGTCAGTAAAATACTGCTGTGTGTGGGAAGGGAACGTTGAAGAGTGGAGGATTAACATTTAAAAACAGAATAAATTAGTTCAACTATAAGCCTAAAGAAAAAAAGAGAAATGCAGTTGACTTATGACTTATCATACCTGGCCACTTATGTTCACTAATTATAGTAGGATAAATCCTCTCCTAAAGTGGAAAATAAACTCCCTGGTGCGCGCGTGTGTGTGTGTAACCTACAGTTATAATGCTGTTTTAATTTTTGTGTTTGGGCCACACAGCATGCATTTTAAAAGTGGATAGTGCTCTCCTAATGAGAGAATGTTAATACCCTTCTGCTCCACAGCAACTGTATCTGTTCTTGGGGAGATGGCAGGATGATCAGGCACTGGGAAATTGCGGTCTTTGCCTGGAGACTTTTAAAAAATAGCAAAATTTGGTCTGTAAATTCAAAAGTGATCCACTGTCTTTTGAACTACTGCTAAAATTATTAGGTTAAGCTATTTTTTCTATTCGTCATTTTCATTTGTATGATTCTGGCAGTACATCGAAGATCTTGTTACGTTAATGAAGTGTTTCACCAAAGGCAGGTGAGTCACCGTGGGCTCTGCCTTTTTAATATGTGTTTATATAAACTTTGCAGATGATTGGCTAATACTTCAGAAACAACCACCAAACGAGAAAAACAGTAGTAATAGAACTCAGAAACTCATGCCAGGAGGTAGATTTGGTAAAGTCTGAAAACAGTTTGATTCCCTCTCAGAGCACTTGAATTGCAGTTTACTAAATGGTTATTTTCTTGAATTGTTTGGCCTATCCCGCGTTTAAGTGGAACCTTTTTTCCACCTTGAGTTTTTGCCATGACCTGGTCTTACTTAAAAAAAAAAAACATATTCAAACTAAGTGCCAAAAACACAGGCTGTGCAGCCAGTAAATCCAAGCTGCCAAATTCCAGAAACCAGACAGTCAAAACCACTTCTGCATTTACTTTGATGTTTGGCTCCTGAGAGGCAAAATTCGATTCTAAGCAAATGAGCGAGTGAGGGGATTTATTTTTGGACTCCTGCTCCAGGTCACTGTGTTCAGTTACTGCAAAAGGTTGACACGAATTAGAGGTGACAGCAGATGGAGACAGGTCCAAGCGAACATGTGGAAATTAGGAGAATTTTTATTTATTTATTTCAATTTATTAAGGCTGAATTTGTACATTTAGACGTTGCTTCATCTCTCCCCCCCCTCTCCCGAGAGCCTGTGGCTTCACCGACGAGGATAAACACATTAGAAATGATTTTC